GGTCCACATACTGCTGAAGCCTACCTTGTATGATTTTGAGCATAACCTTGCTGGCGTGTGAGATGAGTGCAATTGTCTGGTAGTTGGAGCATTCTTTGGCACTGCCCTTCTTTGGTATTGGGATGTAGACTGATCTTTTCCAGTCCTCTGGCCACTGTTGAGTTTTCCAAACTTTTTGGCATATTGAATGTAGCACCTTAGCAGCATCATCCTTTAAGATTTTAAATAGTTCAACTGGAATGCCATCATCTCCACTGGCCTTGTTGTTAGCCAGGCTTTCTAAGGCCCACTTGACCTCACTCTACAAATTGCCAACATGCGCTGGATTATGGAGAAAGCCAGAGAATTCCAGAAAAACATTTACTTCTGCTTCATTGACTATGCAAAAGCCTTTGACTGTGTGGACCACAGCAAACTATAGCAAGTCCTTAAAGAAATGGGAGTGCCTGACCACCTTATCTATCTCCTGAAAATTTTCCTCTAATATCTTGTAAGTCCTCGTTGGACAGCCACTTGGCTTTCTTGCATTTCCTTTTCTTTGGGATGGTTTTTGTTGCTGCCTCCTGTACAATGTTACGAGCCTCTATCCAAAGTTCTTCAGGCACTCTGTCCACCAAATCTAGTTCCTTAAATCTGTTCTTCACTTCTACTGTGTATTCGTAAGGGATTTGGTTTAGATTATACCTGAGCGGCCCAGTGGTTTTTCCTACTCTCTTCAGTTTAAGCTTGAATTAATTCGTTACAATTCAATACCATTTTGGGCATCAAAGATCAAAGAACAACAATTCTGTAGCAGGAGCAACAGCAGCAGACAACCAACATGAATTTTTATCCATAGAGTCAAATTGGTCTGGCTGGATGAGCACGTAGAGTAATTGTGTGTGTGTGTGTGTGTGCGCGCGCGTGAGTGTGCGTGCGTGCGTGTGTGTGCGTGTGTGGTTTTTTTTTTTTGGACTTATATACCGCCCCATAGTGCTACAAGCACTCTCCGGGTGGTTTTACAATTTAATTATACAGGCTACTTAAAGTTACAATGCTTTTAAATTTTTAATATATTCTCTGCTGGTTCAGTGTGCCTCTTTTAAGCTCTTTTCTTTTTGAATTCAGATTTTATTTGATTTGATTTCTGCCTTCAACTGAAGTTTTACTTTTGGATTTTTTCTCATTTGAAACTTTTCATAGTTTTTAAACTTTTGGATGGCAATATATTTTTAAACATTTGTGCCTACCGGTTTCATAACTGTAAGGACGTTTTCAGTACATGTTGACCTGTTACTTTTTGAAGTATTTTATGCTTATGGAATATAGAAGCAATGTAGAGAAATAAAGCTTGTAGAATTAGACAAGCTGATGTTGCCTGGAATCATTGCAACAATGAAAAGGCTTATTATACCTTGATACTCAGATGAATTTTAATACAATTGTCAATGGTTGTTTGGTTTCATTCTGGAGTTAATCCTTTTGGAATAAATGCCACCTGTGACAAGCACAGGCTTCTGATTTTTCCCTTAAAGTCTGTAAAATTCTGTAGGTCTCTTAGGGAGATGTTCAGGAATCAGAATCTCTCACCTGATATTTTAATATCCGTTGATCAGGACTTTGAATTCACGTTTAGGACACCCATCGTCCATATGTTTATGTAAGAAGAAAATATTCTAAAATATGTTATTAGTGAAAAGGGGATGTTTATCATCACAGCTAAACAGGAAGGAACAGCAGCAACAAAGGCCAATAAGTTTTGTCATTTGCAGACCTGGGACATCCAGAGGTCCTTTTTAAGCTTTGTCCTTAAAAAGGAGCAAGCTGTGCTATAAACAGACAAACAAACCATAGTTTAGGATTTTGTTTCTAGTAGATTATTTCACCAGTGTGGATGTGCTGGCACTGTGGGTTAAACCGCAGAAGCCTCTATGCTCCCAGGTCAGAAGACCAGCAGTCGTAAGATCGAATCCACGCAATGGAGTGAGCTCCCGTCGCTTGTCCCAGCTCCTGCCAACCTAGCAGTTCGAAAGCATGTAAATGCGAGTAGATAAATAGGTACCACCTCGGTGGGAAGGTAAACAGCATTCCGTGTATAGCCGCGCTAGCCACGTGACAACGGAAACCGTCTTCAGACAAACGCTGGCTCTATGGCTTGGAAACAGGGATACGTACCATGCCCTAGAGTCGGACATGACTGGACTAAATGTCAAGGGGAACCTTTACCTTTACCTTATGTCACCAAACTATGTATCCTGGGATTTCATAGGATGAAACCATGACATTTAAAGTGGTGTGATACTGATGGCATGACTACTGATTTAGGAACTGTAGATATGTTAAATTACATCCTCCTTGAATACACTCTGGGCAGTGTATTGCCTCATTTCCCAAAGAAATACGTGAGCAGTACAGAAGTAATGTAATAATCCTTGTGGTAGCAGCAACCTCCTAGGTGTGAAGGGCTGCAGGCCACCCCTCAACCTGCACTGAAAAAGGTGCATTTTTGTTGTAAATTGTTGCTCTGCTTCTATGCTTTTGCAGCAGGCAATGGCAGTCCTCACAAGCTACATCTTTTCTTTAGAAGAAAGGAGGCTTGGGGCCCAGAAACACAGTTGTGCTTTCCCCTTCCCCCCCTCCCCTAAGCAAAATGTGCCCTTCCCTTTGCCATAGTAGTTGGGTGCTTAGAGGGACTGCCACAGTGTGCATGGTGCCCTGCATGGGGGCACCGAGCACATGTGTGGTGGAGGGTCCAGAGAACAATTTCCTCATGTTGGTAAAAGGAGAATGTTGGCATCTGTGCGTTACTTTGGAAGTCGTGCTGGAAGTGACTTACAGAAATACATAATAAATGCGGTCAGTCCTTCTAGGTTACCCATATTCTCCTCTCCTCATGCAAACCCCTGCAACTGTTGGGCTTGTTTTTATTTATTTATTTAAAATATTTCCCCCACACACACACACACACACTTCTTGAAAAGGACCTAAGGCAACTTTCAACATGGAAAAACAATATTTAAAGCTGAAAACAACGGGTATGCAACAGTAGTTTACATCATTAAAAGATCATATTTAAGGCTAAGAACAGTGAGTATGAAGAGGAAGCTTACATCTTTAAAAGGCAATATATATTGTTCTTAGCCAATATTCCCTTTTTATATATATAAAAAAGGGGGTGGAATAACAAATGCCACTCTGAGAAATGGAAAACACAAGTAGCTGAAGATTAGCTTCTTAAAATGCATGGCAACATTTTCACTAGATACATAATGATCAGTGCTCTGTATTGTAAACAGGAAAGAAAGTGAAATTCTTCCATTCTTAAGGGGAGCCCAGAAGTGTTCTAAGCTCTGGGCAGAGGGTCAAACGAGGCAGTAAAACGAAGGCACATTCCCAGGGATCAACAACCCATTTCTCCTTGGAATTAAATCCAGGTTTACCATATGCAGTGACCAGTCACAAAACAAAGCCTACATAGATTGAGGAAACACGTCATGACAAATAGATATCTTTTAATGGACTTGGGGGAGTATCTCACCTCAAAATGTGCTAAATATATAAGGTAGTTTGATTCTTTTAAGGACAATTGTTGGTGCACCAGTTTTGTTCCAGTTGTGAATTGTATTTTTCTTTTTCTCCCCTTCCCCTTCAGATTTCGACAGCTTGTTACTGAATACGAACCAGAAGCCCCAGAAGTATCTCGGCTGTTCCGTTCTGTTCTGCAGGATGCCATTGAGAAGAGCAAAGAAGAAGAAGAGGCCAAGAAGCTTGCAAAGCAGTGGAACACGAAGCAGAAATCCAGCCTCTCGCTCACAACCTTCAAATCACGAGCCAGGATTTCGCCATTCAGCAGTGATATCAAGACTATTTCAGAAGATGTTGAGAGAGGCACTGATCCAACCAGAAGAGTGTGGAGTATGCCTGAATTCAGGAGTACCAAGGACTACTGACTTTGTTTATAACCATCAGATTTTAGAAATAGATTGATCATTCATTCATTCATTCATTCATTCATTCATTCATTTATTTATTTATTTATTTATCTATCTATTTATTTATTTGTCAATCAATTGTGGGGGTGATTTTGTCCCTTTTCCAGTTTTATCTTTTTTGCTCTGTTGTGTGGTGAGCTCACCTAGACATCTCTATGTTGCTCTATGTATATTTCTCCTTTTCACTGTGTGTGCAACATACAGTTCCAGGAAAATCACTGTTAAGCAAAAACATCGTAAAGCAGAAAAAAAACCCCACTGAAACACATTGAAACCCGTTCAATGCGTTCCAGTGGGGTAAAAACTCACTGTCCAGCGAAGATCCTCCATATGGCGGCCATTTTTGCTGCCTGTATAGCGAGGAATCTGTCCCTAAACACAGCGGGGAGCCATTTTAATCACCCGGTGGCCATTTTGAAACCGCCAATCAGCTGTTCTACAAACGTCGTTTTGCAAAGAATCGATTCCCGAAGCAGGGAACCGATCATCGCAAAGCGAAATTCCCCCATTCACACCATCATATTGCGATTGCAAAAAGATTGTCGTTAAGCGGTTTTGTCGTAATGTGGGGCAATCATAAAGCGAGGCACCACTGTAGTGGCCAAAATCCTGTTGCTTAGCATAATAAACTACACTAGAAGAAGCTTATTGAATCAATGGGGGTTGGTGATTCAATTCCTCCATAATTTCCATTGATTCAATTAAACCTACTTTAACTTCGACTTACTTCATTCAGCATATGGAGCAGTTGACTTGCCCATTGATGCAAAGGGCCTACTCTAGAGTGATTTCCTCTCTTTAGCAGGGTAGCGCTCATCCAGGCTGGCCTCTAGTAAGAGAAATGGGATCTTGCTGTGTTGTGGGGGCATCTCCCTGAAGCTCAGTCTGTCCTCTATGGAATGGAAGAGGAGCCCATAGAAATTGCAGCTCATGCTGTGCGTTGTAGACTCATTCGGTTAGCCTCAGCCAATCATTTAGCACCATATTCTGTGGTCCACAAATACAATTGTCATGTAATGATCTTAATGTTAATTCTAGCAATGAGCTAGAATTGTCTCATACAGTGGATTAATTAACCTTTTAAAAAGCCAGCAGAAGAAACTGGCAGTGGGTGGATATTTCAGAACGGCACCCAACTGTGCCATCAGTGTCATAATCAGGGTGAGGGAGAGCTTCCTACCAAGAGACACTGCTAATCACTCTCTCCTGTGCTGGGAAATGTCTTTGAGAGGCAGTATGTATAAAAGGGACACCCTTTAATTCTTTGGCAGGAGTGGGAAATATTGGGCCTTCCAGAACTGCTGGATAGCTTGTTAGTTAAGGCAGTTGGCTGCTGAGCCAGAGGTTGGGGGTTCGATTCCCCACTGCACCTCCATGACAAGGGCTGGATGTGATGATCCATAGGATCCCTTCCAGCTCTGCAGTTCAAAGATGGGCTTCAGCTCCTAGTACAAAGTTATGGGAATTAGAATTGAAGATTAAGAAGGCCAAAGTTTTCCTGCCTTTTATCAGTGAAAGTGGGAAAGCTGAGGCTGACTGACTACGGTTGACTAACAAATCTAGCCAAAATTTGTGAGAAACTATAAGCATGTTGTTGCTTGACAAAGAATGCTCTTACTTGTGTTTTATTGTTTGGGGGATTTATTTCTTTTTGGAAACCACTTATGTGACCATGATAATCCGCTCTTCTCTGGACAGTCTATTCTTTTATAGCATAGAGACATTTCTGCAAGTCATGCAGAAAGTTAAGCACAATGCTTCTGAACACATGGCTGCCTTGCAGGAGTCTCGTCTTTCTTATTTCCAGTAGTGCTTTCTTTCTCTTTAAATCAGAAAGCTGTAAAGAGTTGCCAGCACTTATGGTAACAGGAGGAGGACAGCTTTGAAGTGTTGTTTCCATGGTGCAGTTGCTGCTATATTTCCATCTGATGGTTTCAGATGAATTGAAGCTTGAGAACTTTCCACTGGTTTAGGCATTCTTTGCTACCAGAGGAAATGTGTTTGCGTTTGTGCATCCATTAATATAGAGAAGCCATCTGCCCTGTCTTTTGATGGAAGGAAAAAATGCAGCTTCAGCTACAATGGTCTGGGCTTCTGAAAATCAATCCAATTAAATTCATTCTTTACTACTATTGTCAGAAGCTTAAAATAAAGCCACAGAACCGCTTTTCATATGGAACCCTAGTCAACAGCAGCATCTTTACAGGGACTTGGTTCTGTATTTGGCACATCCTAGCAGAAGGTCATGAATATCCCCATGCCTAAAATTCAGAAACAGGTGTGGGAACTTGCTGTGTTGTGGATGTGCAAATTGCAAATGATACTGTGAGTGAATTTAGGTCAGAAACAGTATATATGTTGTTGTTTTTCTCTGGAATTTATTGGCTATTGATATTGAAAGTAGATATGTGAGTTGTGATCCTTAAAAAGAATTAGGGCATTTAAGAGTGTTCTGTGCCTCATCTTGTCCTCCGTTTACCAAAAAAATACTGCCTTGTTCCTTTTTTTCTGGAGTGGGAAAGATCAAACTAGATATTATGTGGAATGCATATCACCTCTGATTTCCTAATAGGGGCATGTTTCAAGAATCAGACTTGCACATAAAGTCCATCTTAACTTCTTTTGGTCAGTCATAGAACAAAGCACACCAAATGCAAGATACATATGTGAAGAGAATTGTCCTGGCAGGTTCTTTCATCATTTGAAAAAGCACCTCTTCTAGAAATATCCTAAGCATATCTGGGCTGCTGCTAAAATATTGACGAGCGATTTTACCACCATTTAGGGTTCAGATGCTTACAGGAAAAAGAGATGCACAGATGCCATGGACTACCATAAAGACAAGTAAATGCTTTCTAGATCATAAGATAATTAAACTGCAGTGTATCATTACACAAATTGACCAATAATGCTAGGGAAAGTAGGAGGCAGTAGGAAAAGAGAAAAACTCAACATGAGATAAATTGACTTAATAAAGGAAGCCACAGCCTATCATTTGCAAGACATGAGCAAGACTGTTAATGATAGGAGATTTTTAGGTCATTATTTCAGAGCTGACGTAACTTAGAAGTGACTTGACATCACATAACAGCTTCAAATATACAAACACGATGAAACGGTGTAGCTCTAATGTACTGTTTTTTTAAAAAAAAATTCATGCATTTTTTTCCTGAAGATGCCAGCAAACTTCATTATTAAATATCAGATGTACTCAGGGCTTCAACATATCAAATCCAGTTTGAACCTGGACCATTTTTACTCAGGAGCAGTGAAAGAAATCTAAAAATATTTTGGCAGGCAAACAATTGGTATGCCATTTTCTGTATCTATAAATACTTATTAGGTCTTGGTATTTGGATACTGCATTTCTAACATTCAACAAGAAACAATACTGTATAGGAAAACATGACAATTTAAGGGCTACCCATGTCAGCTCCCTTGTTCTCTCCCTTTTTCTCAGGTCTTTGGGGTGGGGTTTGCACCTGGGAAGGCAGGGTGAGGGTGGGGTAGGGAGATGTTGTCCCAGATGACGTTTGTCTGACTGTAGTGATCTATTATTTGCAAGTCTACCTTTTAATGGTCAGTTTTTAAGTTTCACGTGGTAGAACTGGCTTCTTCTTTGCTGTGTCTAGTGTTGTGAGTGTGTGTGTGTTCCTACCTTTTGATGACCTACACCCTAAAGAAAACTGTCAGAAAACCATGAAAAGCCATTTTCTAACAAATCATATGACCAACTTTTGTATCTACAAGTGAGGAATTTTTTGTTGTACTGCATTCTGAAATACATTCTTTCAGTTTTAGCTACTCGCTTTGCCTGGTGATTGATTTATACTCAGCATTTCATTTATTAGCCATTTCAGCATTAATTTTGGCATTGTCAGACTTCTGTATCTGAGCATTAATTGAGATAATCACAGTTAAGATTTAATTGTAGCAATGGATGGAAGTCCAGGAGAGTCTAACCTCTGGCCACACACAACACTGGGTTATTTGGCAGTCACACGATAGGCTACAGAGTGGAGTTGGCAGAACCAAGGGAAGAGAAGAAAATGGGGCTTCCGCACCAACATAATCCATTGAGAGTGCAGAGGAGAACAGGCAACTTTACACCTAGGTTAGTGCCCTATGTCTACTCCCCTCAACATGTCTTATAATAGGCGTAAATGCTAGCTGTCCCATATTGCTCTTGATGTTGCCTGTTTATTGGGCAAAAATATTTGATATGTATTTGTCATCTAATTGTACTGGGGTGCTTCTCATACAAAGAAAAATACTTACAATTTTCCAAAAGTAAATATAATTCCTTCTATTCGTATAACATTCAGCACAGAGCAGATAAGAGCTCAGGAACTGGATAATTGCACCTCTGAAGAATGTGCATGTAAGACCTATGGAACACAATTCAGTTTATTTCTGAGTGGCCATATGGCTCAGGAAGGGCAGGATACGTATAAATGAAATAAGCAGCTAAAGCTTAAAAGGTGGCATGTAATGTATGGGAGGGGAGAATGGTGGGGAAAGGTTAATTAAATTACAAACTCAGACTGGTAGGAAGCATCATCCAAGTCATTCATAGAAAAGGAGCTGTATCTTCTATTTCTACGATTTTTAAAAAATGAACATATTGGAAGGCCAGGCATGGTAGGGAAGACTCGATGTGGTTTCTGCAAACAAACATCTTATCAACTTAAAATTATTTGTAACTGTCAACCATCACCTAGCTGGGGGGCAGGGGGAAGAGATACATAGATATTGCATGCATGTGCTTCTCAAAAAAGGATCGGGCATTTTGCCAACAAAAGCGCTCAAGAAAAGTTACCGTAATACTAGGCGGATGGCTTTCCCTTGCAGAGCAGCGACTGATTAAACACCCGGAAGAAAGCAATGGGGATGAACACAGTGAAGTAAACAAAGCACAGAATAGAAGGCAAATCACGCAATCTTCCCAGCCTCTGGTAGGCTTCTTCCTGGGTGACCGGTTCTGTGACTGATGTTGCAACAAGTGTGAAAATCGGCATGTAACAGGGAAGCCTGCTAGAGCAGAGGAGCAGCTTACAGTACGTGATTATCCTCCTGCTCTCTATTTAGGGAACCAAATACCAGCCATACTATATTATCAGTTATCAGTGAAGCAGCAACTGCTTTTCTGCGCAAATACTTAGTGTTAAGTGCTACTGCCCTTTTAAATGTTGCTTTACATGCTGTGCCAGCGCATGTATCAGCAACCAGAAACTGAGAATGAGGAATAAGGTGGCCCTGTTTGCTGACAGCACCAATTTATTTAAAGTAGTTAGAACAACAAAAGAAGAAGAAGGGGGAAAAGGCAGTTAAAAACTCTTGTAAAGAGATCTGCAGGGTGAGAGAGTGGGCACTGAAATAGAATGCATTTCAATGTGAACAAAGGTAAAATGATGCACCATGGCAAGAAACACACACCATTCTGATTTTCATGATATGCTTATGGGGGTCTCCACTGCCTGCAACTAAGCAGGAAAGGGATCTTGGGAGTTGTGGTTGCTAGCTCAAGAGACACACCATCCCAATCTGTGGCTGCTTTTTAAAAAGTCATTTTTCATGTTAGGGTCATTCAGAAAGGAATGATAAACAAATCTGCCCCTATTGTCATGCTTTAAACATAACCTCTAGTGTAGCCGCACTTGGAATACAATGTGCAAAGCTGGTCATTACTCCTCAGTAAGGATGCTGTAGAGCTGAAAAAGGTGCTAAAGGGTAGAACGAAAGGGGAGCACTCTCTATGGCTACAGGCCACAACACTTTGAGCCTTCTTAGCTTTGAGCAACAGGTGACTGTACTTTGCCTCCCCCCCCCTGCTTTTTCTCATCTGTCTGTTCCCCCCACCCTCCATTTTAACAAAGAGCCAAGCCAGACTAATATGACTCCTTTGGGAATGGCCACACAATCTAGTTCTGCCCACCAGTTTAAATAGCTTAAAATGCATTCATGACCAAATGCATTCATAGAGAGTAAGTCTATCAATACCTACCAGTTACAATGATTATATTTCACCTGCAGTATTGGTTGCTGGGGCATACAAGCAGTAATGTAGTATTATACCCATGTCCTCCCTGTTGGCTTGCCATAGGCATTTATGTAGCCATGAGATAGTGAAAAGAATACTAGACTAGACAGGCCTTTTGTGTGAATCACCAGGTTCTACTTTGGTGTTTTTTTTCAAAATGTCATGTTGCTCCTTTTAAAGAAATCTAAAGCTCATTGATCTAAAGTGATAAAACATAGAGTATTACAATAATGATTCACATTAACATGTTAATGCATCCCTATCAAACTGCTTGGGATACATTTATGGGGAAATACAAAAACATTTAATTTACTTTTGCAACTGCTGGAGTTTGGTCTGGGCATAGTGCAAAACACTCCAGTCTGAAGGCTTTCTTTTCCTTTCTTTTTTGCAACTCATTCAAAACTCTTTTGGCAGCACTAAGCCTACAAGAAGTCAAACCACCGCATGTATGCAAAACAGGAAGGGTAGTGACACTTTCTTTCCTATTTCAGAACCTATTGTGGACTAAGGGAAAGAGAGAGTCTCTCTGCCTACAAAGCAAGCTGCTGCTGGTGCAGCAGCAATGAGATATTTGACTTTAATGTCCAAATTGATTAGGATTGTAATGTGTTTGGCTCACACTGAGCACTGTTGGTTCTCTTCACTGGATGCAATCCTCTGGTCCACCAAGCTGAACACAGAACAAGATTGCCCTCCATGCTGCACAATTCTGGAATTTTCTGCCAAAAGATATTGTGAAGAGTCTGTGTGTATTTGCATCATTGCACTAAAACTAGGGCTCCTTGTGCTAGCAAAAGTGAAGTTTTAGAATTAGCACAACGCATCTAGTGCAATCTTCCACTGTGCAACTGTTTGTACAAGACACAGGACACGTACACTGCCTGATGAATCCAGCACTACATTAGTGGAGATTTTTGCTCTGCTTTTGTCACACTAAATCACATGGCTACTGCTTTAGACATCTTTAAAGTGTATTAGACAAACAAATGGAGGATGTGTATCTCAAAGTCTATTGACTGTGATTGGCACTACAGAACTAGTTGCTAGGGAGCAATAGCAAAAACAAGACAGACTATTATATTGCTTTCAAGCCTCAAATCTAGAGTTTCAAAACTATTTGGCTGACTACTGTGGACAGCATCATGCTGCAATGTAGACAGATCTCTGGTTTGATCTGGACATGCTACTATTCTCAGGAACATGGCCCTTCAAATAGTACAAAACAAAGAAAGGGGGATAAGAACTGGCACATCAGATCACACAAGGCAGTGAGCCACATGGCTTTTGATTGACAGACACCCCATAGAAACAGACATCTTAAGGAATGCTACATTTAAACATCACAGTTAAGCAGTCATGAAATAGAATATTGTGTGGGTATGGATGCAAACACACACACAAACACACACACTTTCCCCTGAAAAATGTGTGTCTTACTATTGCATGTGGCTCCAACTGATCTCCGATCATATTTGACAATCAAGTCCACACCTTACACGGCCTCTGTTATATAACAGCAACTTCTGTTTCCAGACCATTTGCAGGGTTCAGAGAAGAAGCTGTCATTTAACAGTTGAAGAGGTAGGTGTACTACTCAAAACAGCTACATACAACTCAAAGCTTGTTAACAGTTTCTGCAATAGCAATTTAATGACCTTTTTACTGATCATAACAATCTTTTTTAAAAAATAGAATATTAAACAAAAATTCCTCATGCACAGATCTAATAGTTTCATCTGTTGACATGCCTAGACTGCATAGCAGTAATAAACAAAACTTGTGTCATTCACTTATCACCTCTGATGCAAGTTCAAAAATAACTGTGTCCAACTCTCTTTACAGCATACGCCATGTTTGGTAACTGACAATTTTGGATTGCAAAACCCATCCACAGATATTGACTTTAAAAGTACCACTTGATAATATGAACCAACCCTACAAAAAGTGTGGGAAAAGTAAAATTATAAGTAATCTTCATACTTCATTTCTTGATAACTATGCTAAGATTTATTTGTTCTAGCATGGTATTCAATTAATCTCATTCACCAATAAATGGCTTTTGTCAGAGAAATAGGAGAGAGACTGATAACACTTTCCTCCCGAGAGGTCCTCTATATGCCTTCAACAGTTTGGGGATCTTCCACAAAAGATTTAGTATTGTACAGGAGAAAAAGAAAATTTATTTTGTATCAGGTTGAACTTTGCCTCTGAGGAAAACCAGGAAGAGAAAGAAAGGTTCCACAGAGTAGTAAAATCAGGGTTAATCAAATATATCTTTGGGTAAAATTAATGTTTGCATTTCCCCAAATAGGTAATACAAATGGAAGTCTATATGAGAAAGGATGACAGATGATGTCAGTGAACATCTTTCCAAAGGAAGGTCAGTAACAATAGGCTGCATTGAAGGTGTGGTAAACAATATTAAATATTTCAAAAGAACTTCCCAGTGCCACACTCCTTAACAGTTTATCAGGCACTGTTATGTATATAAATAGCAGAACATACCCATTTCTCACCCAAACTGTATTCTGTTAAATATCACTTTCAATCCTCAAAAAGTTTACAGAAGAATAGGGTGCCCTCTGCTGTTAACTTGTAAGGGTTTCAGGAATGTGAAACGTTATAGTAGAACAGACGCACACATGCCATACTTTGGTACAATACATAAAACATATTACAGCTGAGAAGCAGAGGTGGCTCCGCTCCACTTAGACTGGGTAGTAGAAATATTCATAACAAGCAACACAGTGATAGCATACAGTACATGAAAGATTATCATGGATTATATTCGCCTGCTTTGACACAGAGTACAGCATTGCATCCAGTCTCCCCTTCTCTTCCCATACCAGAAGTATGATGGGACATTACCATGCTATTCCTTCTGTCTATATCATGCCAATCATGTCAAGGAAGGGATGGGAACATTATCCACTGCAGCCAATCATGTCAAGGAAGGGATGGGAACAAACTACATTATGCTATCATGCCATTTCCTTTACTGAACATTTTGGGGTCAACTGTATTTAGCAGCAACCTGATCAGTAACGTCTCATTTATTTACAGTAGTTAGCCCTGACTTCCCGGAAAAAGGTACTGAAGACAACTGAGAAACTTTCTTAAATAAATAAAAATACAGTGGTGCCCCGCTAGATGCTTACCCCGGTAAACGACAAAATCGTTTCACGATGACTTTTTTGTGATCGCTATTGTGATCGCAAAACGATGGTTCCTATGGGGAAAATACGCATTACGTTGCTTAGGAGCCTGCTTCGCGAACCGTTTGTTCGCTATACTATATTTTTCTGGCTCTGCAAAATGGCTTCCTTCCACAAAATGGCTTCCCTCCCTTCTCAAAATGGCTGCTTTCCAGAGGGAAGCTTCGCATTACAGCGATTTTGAACAGCTGATCAGCGATTCTCTATGGGCAATCTTCGCTGGACGATGAGGTATTTCCCTATTGGAACGCATTGACCGGTTTTCAATGCATTCCGATAGATTTTTTTTCGCTTGACGATATCGCTTAACAGTGATTTTCCTGGAACGGATTATTGTCGTCAAGCGGGGCACCACTGTAAAGCAAATTGGAAACATACAGTCATTAAAATAATAACAGTAATTGTTACGGCATCATGTTGTTCTATCGCAAGTTTTCATATATGTTTACAAATGCTCTGCTATTGGACTGTACTTAGAACTCACTAAATACGATGTAGATCAAATTCAGAGGAAGATATTTTATTTGGCTTTTCTTTTAAAATAAAGGCCTATACATTGTGAAGTCATATTTTACGACCACTCTTTCAGTGATGTCTAACTGACATAGTGATGAACTCTGCAGACATTGGTAACCCACTGGGTTTCTCAAAGTGTGTATCTAGCTATACACTCCTACATAGGAAAGATCAGAATACAGATTAATTACGATCATACAAAATGCAAATAGCAATGCAAAGGGATAAACTAAACCGGAAGGTGAACTATTTTCAGAATCGTTGCACAACTGCCAGAGGATTTTAATTAAAGCCTGGCAGTCATTTCATAAACTGCCATTAAGATGTTACCAACTTTGAAAGAAAATACATTACACCAAAGAAACAATGTTTTATAAAATCTACTGTATTCATTTTCCTAGAATACACACTACTTAGAGATACTTTGCTATTTACAAACAAATACCTGTAATACTAAAAATATCTATATATGCAGGTATGCTTCTTTTTAAAGAACTTATTTGCAACTATTTTTCTTTAATAAGGTAGATGACAAAGGACAATTGATGGTAAACTTCTATTTTGCATGCAGTAGGCAATAGGCCAAAATTTAGTCTTGAGTTTTAAAATGCTTTAGTGCATTTTGAAACATTCAGTCTAGCACTGTTAAGGTCACAGAATGAGCAACGTGGCTCTCTGTCGGCAAGTTGTTGTCAGTTCTTCAATTTGCCTGTAAAGAAGGTGCTCTATCTTCACAAGAGGACTGTTTTAGCTCTTCACACTTTAAGTGTTCTTTCGCTCTCCCCTTCATTCTCAGCTTATAGAGCAGGATGATCAATTGAGTGGGCAGACGATACTGGTCCTTGCTTAGTATCATTTTCACTACAAAGCGGAGTTCAAGAAGTCAAGAAGTTCAGCACGGTTTCGATCACGCTGGGAATAAAGAAGTCAGTCATTGAGACCATATACATTTTTAGCAGCCACCTCTTATGATTAGAAATCCATTTTGCAGCCTATGACCAAAATCCTCTTGCATAGTTGCACTGTCAAAGGAGAAACAGTGGCACTCACAGTAGCAAATTAGAGCTAATTAACAATTCCCTGCTTGGAATCCTGGTCATTCGCCAAGCCACCTATCTGGTGCACGGCTAAGAATCCAACAAGGGACCTTTTAATTAGTGGCAACTGTCACTGAGAGTTATGCCATTTCCCTTCCATTAGTATAACTATGCAAAATTATTTTGGCCTAGATTCATAAAGAGGTAAAGCCTAGTGATTTCAGTGAGGCTTACTACCAAGCAAGTATGCCTAGGGCTACACTTGATTGAAAACCATGTCTTTCTGAATTTTATCCCGAGAATGCACTTATGTTGCTAAGGATAAAAAATTCTCTAGAAGTAGTTCTGTAAAAGCAACAATCACCTTGGAAAAGGCAAAATACTGTAGTCTATTTCCCCCTCCCTTACTTGTTATTTAATGCACTATTTTTTCACCCTTTCATACCTTATTCTGTCAATAAACCTAAGTCCCACCATGATATTACTCAAATTATTTATAGTATGTTTGAAACATATTAAGAACTGCCGTAGCATCTGAAAGCTAAGGTAAAACAAGAAGAAAATCAGAGTTTGTTGATGGCTGAAAATTTTAATAATACTGTTGGACATAAATGCTATACCCTATGGATCTGTAAAAGATAATAAAGAAAAAATGTGTATCACACTTGCAGGACACGAGGATTGAGAGAAGGTGAATTCATTGTAATTATTATGGAAATCCTTTCCCCTATTCCCCAGGCACTTCTGTATTCGTCAGCAATATGTGTAGCACCAACTGAGAACCATTCATTTAGCCAACCATTCATGTCAACCAACATGCTTAAGCATATTGTTGCTGCAGGCAAGGGAAGTTAAAAATAATGAAAATTAAGATGGCTTGTACAGTACCTAGAAACTGGATGGTAGAGAAGGGCTAACACATACTCATACAATTTGCATGCACTTCTACAACTCTGAATGGAATGAACAGTGAGATGGGATTTATCTAGCTTGAGCAGAGAAGCGCAGTCAATCCTTATGTTATAACATCAGAACTGCAGAGCTGGAAGGGACCCTATGGATCATTTATGTTATAATTTAAAGGCAGGACTCTTAGCACAATGTTGCGGTGTATCTTCTTCCCTCATGAGGAGCATTCCTGTTCAGGGCTCCAAATGGTCCGGCAGACCCGTCCTGTTCGTGTCTCTTAGGGGTAGTGGGAAGAGTGTCATGAACAGGAAAATAATTCTCTCTCTCTTTTTCTCCACATCACAGGTGGCCTTCTGTGCTATGTAACACGAGACCAGGGATATGGAATGTGTGACCCTTCAGATGGTGTCAGTCTGCGTTTTCCATGATGCTCCACTCCTGGTAATGCAGGTGGGGGATTATGAGAGTTGCAGTTCAGTAGCTTCTGGAGGGCCACACATGCTCAACTTCTCCACTAGAAGACTACAGCCACAAACGTAACATTTGACAGCTATAGAATCAAGGCATGGGGCAGAGGCAACACCTTTGGAGACCAAACCATTCCTCTGTAGGTCAGGGGTAGTTTTTAACTCTACAGGAACATCCCTCTAATCATACTCTTGCCCTTGGGATACCTACTGTAAGCAAGTCAGGCACTTGGCCAGATCAATTCCTTTTTGCTTCATGTCCTCTGGGTTCCTTTGTTTTGGGGAGGGTTTGTTTTTAACTAGTCTTCCATGGCTCGATTGCTCACAACCACACAGACTGACAGATTCAAAGTGTCCGCCTGATATCTAGCATCATGGATCATCACCTGGTTTAGTGGTCATAGATAACTTCACCAGGAACTGTCATTCTTTTTTAATTTACTTCATCTTTTTGCATAGTTTGAATAATCCAAGTACACAGAAACTATTACCTTATTTTTGAATAGTTTCAAAACTGCAGGAATTCCTCTACTAACATATTCAGCCAAATACACCATAATGGTTAACACTTTGATCCAGCTGTAAGAACATGTCATAATTCATAGTTACAGATGTACATTTCCTTCTGTATGGAATGATGCACTGATCTAGTTCAACAAGATTTAGACAAGCATCACACTGGCAAGATTTGGAGTAATCTAAAACTGGATTAAAGGTTAACATTTACATAGCTTTCACATCAGTTTTATTCTGCAGAGCACTTTATGCTCCTGAATTTAAAATATCTGAAGCTATGACCAAAAGAGCAATACTCTTAATAAACAAAGAGCGTTGTATCTGTGTTTAACTAAACAATATTTTTAAAAGTTTGTAACCTTACCTCTTTATCCTTTTTACTCTTTTTTATTTTCATCTTAATTTTTTTTCCTGTGATCATACTGTAATTCTGATTCTTCTTTTTATCTTTCAAGTACTAAAAATCCAGAAATAAACAAATATGTACCATGCTGAATTATTTATATTAATAATAATTTATTTATCATGTTTTCCAGAAATACCTGTGGGTTTTTTTAATGTCAGAGAAACCCACTGATGTGTGAATGTGTAATGAAGGAACCTTTAGAGTCAAAAAGAGCAAGGAATAAGAAGCGAGAACTAATTTAAATTAATAAAAAAAATAGGAAGCACTATCCTAGGAAACAATGTCACACAATCCAGGGGTTCTTAAAAAAATAATACCCCATAAAAATAACATAATAAAACCCCTTTTGCGTCTTCCTTTCTTTTCTTCAAACAATTTTTAGAGAAATAAAATGAGAAAGTCCAAATGCATCACTGAGACAGACACTTACAACTTTGACCTACTACAGTCCTTTGACATTTTAGTTTAACAATTCTAAAACCACTTCGAAACTAAATGCTGCATTTAGTTAGTTAAGAACATCTGGACTTGATCTAGATATGGTTATTAGGAGCATTACATTAAGAGTGAGACACAAATATAATTAAATATCCGAAAAAATAAAGCAGCCACAAAAGACTCATTCATAACACAAGAATATCAACCACAGTTTGAAAGTGTTTTACTGTATATGAGGGTGACACTTAGAAGTGTGTTCCATAATGAAAATTTTGATTTCCCTTCACAGGAACAAAATCCAAGTCAACTATGAGTATTTGGAGGTTAAGTATCAAGCTATGTAATCCCCTGGAATAATTAAAGGGTGCCAAGCACTCACTGCCTTTAGTCCCATTTAAGATTTTTCAGTATCAGCAATTAAATCAGTTAAATCCAATCAATTCTGGTCAAGGAAACACTGAAAGCATTGATTAACTGCAAAGGAATTTTTCTCCCCTGAACTTCATTCTACTCATTCATAGCTGACAGCATGATATTGTGATTACAAGTATTGAATCAGAAACTGTGAGGGTTCAAATATGACTGAGCAACTTTCAGACAGTCACAAATGATCAGGTTTAACAGTCTTGCTTTGAGGACTAAATGGGATATGAGTGGGGGAGATCATGTGTGTCACCCTGAGCAATTTGGAGAAAGAGAAGAATTAAAGTGTAATAAAATATACATCAGTCTGTATCATAACAGCCAGATGCAGTAGTTTCCAGGGTGGCAATTTCATACAACAGATAGCTGAAGTAATTCTCCTATCTATGCATTGTATTATCTTTAATAAGTTTTCTATGGGTTAATCTAGTTCTTTGAAAGAAAAGAACAGAGGTGTTGCTATACATTTAGTCTTGCATATACCTTAGAAAGCTGAACAGGTCCTGATTTGTCTTTCTTTTTCTTTTTTTCTTTCTTTTTCTTCAGCTTATCTTTTTTCCTCTTCTAAAATAAAGAAGGGTGAAGATATACAGAAGACGTCACAGACATAGAGAAACCATACACATTCACATTAATTGATGACATACCAAAGTGTGTTCCTCAGCTCTTAATTTTAGGGTCTAAGGGCAAAGAGCTTCAGTTTCAGCATGAACCTGAGTAGACCATGCTCACTGTTTCACATTCAAGACTAATTGGGGAGTAGCATTTCCAGAATCTTCAGGCTCTTAGCCTTGTCACCGGCAACTAGACACAAGTTTGGTCAGAAATTTTGTCAACCGAAACGTGGATTGCACTAGGAATAGGGGTGGCGCTAGAAACCTCCAGGCGCAATGCATCCTGGGGGAAACCCTTTTATATAGCGGAAAAAAAGAGAGGGGAAAAACATTATTTTCTATGGATTTCATTTCGTAAACCGAAAATTACGTAAACCGAGGCGTTCGTAAACCAAGGTACCACCGTACTCCCAAAAAGTAGCTTTTCTAAATAACTTCTTAGTTTGGTACTCCATGTTTTCTTTGTCACTTTTTCCTGGCAGGTATCTGCTAAACTTAAATGGAAATCCATCATCATTTCTCTGGCAGGTGAAATTCCTTTTGCCTCTTTGGATGACTTATCTCTAGAGCCCAATGTCAGCCCCCTTGCAACCCATCCCCATTACCTACCAATGACAATAAGGATCACTCTTCTATGCAACACTGGTGAACATTTGCTCAGGGAACAATGAGATACATATTTTAATGGAATATGAGTTCACAAACTACATCAGCGGAAAGATAAGCAGCTGTCACATGACAATTCAGATCGTATTTGCCATCAGTGGAAATGTGAAAGAAAATGTGGGGGAACCTACCCCCTGAGATATTTGTCAGCAGGCAAACTTATCAAGAGGAAGTTGGTCAAAGCATCTGAATCATTATGTTGCTTAGACATGAGTTGTATTCTGTGTTCACGTAATTAAATATGTTAACATAACTGTTCCCTGAAACCAGGTTCTCTGTTACAGCCCATATAGCTCATATGAATATTTTCCATTTAGTTTAATTAATTTTACCTTTTTGCTGTGCTTCTCCTTTTTTCTTTTCTTTGATTTTGATTTGGGTGAATCTAGGTATTAAGATTTTAAAAAGTGAATATTAGTTGGACAAATAAGAAATGGTTACAAAAGTCAAGATTAGCAACAACAGTGTTGTTGAGGCGTATACCCCATTGCTTTCTATTATACAAACAAGGAAGCATGTTTTGTTTTATTATCTTCAGCTGATTAGAATATCTAGAGTAGTTTGTGGGTGGGGCAGCCTGGTATATTTTTATTTTATCCGGTTTCTAATTGGAAACTAATTTAATCATGACAATAGGTTCAAATTCTGCTATCTTCCCAACTCCTAAACTTATTTCCTAAATGTCCTTACCTCCTAAAGATTCCTTTTCTAGTGAAGCAGTTTTAAACTATGGGCCAAGAAAGGGAAAGCCTTTAAGCTTTTAAAATCTCCAACCCTGCAGCTTATAGCTGGCTTCTGATGATTGCAACAGACAAAACACAGGATGGGGGTCCATCTTATTATGCTTATCCAGCTTCTTCAGCTACCTAAAAGTCTTTACTGAGTATTCACAAACTGTGGTGGTGAATCTGATTCAGCCTGTCACATCAAATACGTAGCCTATGAACAGGCAAATTAGACAGTTATCCCCAGAAAAATTGTCAGGTTAACAGATCCTCAGGAACAACTATTACTATTTTTAGCTGGGCTTATGTCACATTTCCCAATTTTAGGGGAACAGATGTTATAGTCATGCCAGTTGGGAGATTTCTGGAATTATTGCTATTATTGTCATTACTGTTAAGTGTTCCATGCTCTACAAAGAATAATCTCAAGGACATTTGAACTAGGATGCTCCTGTTAAATACAATCCAAGTGTCTCTTAAGCATGGTATTGCATTTGTTTAGTTAGAACAGTTATATAACACCCAATAACACAAAATTCTCTGGCAGCTAACAAAGTGACTAAATGTATATTGTAGTAAGTTACTATCTGGTGAAATGGATGTCACACTGCTAGAACGCATTGCATTTCTTACTTCCAAAGTTGTTCAAAGAATGTTGTATAAGAGCAATATTCTGCTATATAGTCTAAACAGGTAAAGTCAGCACTAGTAGTCTAATCTCTGACTACAAATTGATCTTTAAAGACTTTATTACACCTCCTCCAAGAGACAGAGATCTGGTTTAAGCATCAGGCAGGTTCCATGTAAGAGGGTCCTTGGCTTATACAGCTCTCATTACTGAAGTCCATAAGATGACATACATCTAATATTATAGCTGTTTTTTTATACTTGATTTAGCTTTGGACAGTGTCTGCATTTGCTTTCGGCATATGAAATGACCATCATCTGCACTGAAATAGTTTTACCTCTACTACTTGACCTGCTCCTGCTATGTGAAGCAGAGGATCCTGAAGAACTAGAAGAGGAAGACGTTGAAGAGCTAGATGATGTAGTAGATGAAACAGAAGAGGATCTGCTTCTGCTGCGTTTCCGCTTCTTCTTCTCTCTCTCTTAAAGGAAAAACAAAGAATGGAAAGACTGTTCACTTTTTTTAATATAGTAGAAAATGATGACTTTTAGATGCAAATCAGAAATACTGCACCATGAGCGACTATGAGCATTGTGAACCTCAAATATAAATTATAAGCACAACTTAGCAGTCTTACCCCTGGTTTGTGTCTTCTCTTGTGACATTGCACGCAATGCCCCATCTCTCTCTTCATGTCTGTCATCCATATCTATGGAAATATATATATCAAATATTGATATTTTAAAAACACTCATACACAACATTGCTAAAATATTTTCTGTGAAAGGAATGGAAAGCATCTTGGCAGTTGAAAAGGAATGGTTATACTACTGTTATGAATCTTTATGGATACCCCAGTGGTTTATCTATCTGGCTGCAGAGCCAGAGGTTGGGAATTCAATTCCCCACTGTGCCTCCTTGACAGGAGCTAGACTTGATGATCCATAGGGTCTCTTTCAGCTCTGCAGTTCTAGGATTGACTGGATTTATTTACTCAGACTATATATATAAGAACTATAACCTTTTGAATTTCAGCTTCTGGAATCTCTCACCACTGACCTGGCTGGCTTATTGTTCTGAGACTGGAAGTCCAACCATGCTTGGCAACTCAAATTCAGGAACAGTACAGTATGAGTAAGACAAGGTCGTGTCCCATAATATATACATTTCTGCCACACCTTTGGAGCCTATACAGATGACAAATTACCTCGAACTGAACATTCTATTTCTTACCCAGTGTGGCTTTGTTATCTGATATACTTTTGCCAGATAGTCATTTACACAGAATAGTGTTAGCAAAAAGATATTTGCAGCAAAGAGAAAATTAAACTGTGGGACATCTTTAATTAATTCTTTATGGAATAAGATTTCATGAATTAATGCCTTTTCAACAGATGCATGAAATGCTATCCTCAGTTGGCTTTCTTCTTTTCAATACTGTACAAGAGGAACTACTGAGGAAAGAGAAGAAAACAGAAGCACTGTAATGGTAAATCAAGGAAGAATATGTCCCCCTTACAAGCACCTAAAACTGGACTGTGCTACACAATCTGTGGGAAAAGATGGTTCCACAAGAGGACTGGATGAAAGCCAGGCAGACATGGCTTCTCATATGAGATCTCGGAAGCAATTGCAAACATACCAGATTGCAAGAGGGAAGGTATAGCAACTTCTGAGTAAGCAGAAAACCTTTGGGCACCTTAAACTGGTGAAGTAAGTTGGTGGAGCAAAGGTCACAGAGAAAGATTATGTTGAATACAGGAGAGGGGGGGCGTTATAGAGCAGTGGTCCCCAACCTTGGGCATCCATATGTTCTTGGACTACAATTCCCAGAAGCCTTCACCACCACCTCTGCTGGCCAGGATTTCTGGGAGTTGAAGTCCAAGAACATCTGGAGGGCCAAGTTTGGACACCACTGTTATAGAGGACTTTGATAGGGCCAGTAAAACCACTGTGTGAGATTTAAGAAAAGAAGTCCGAAAGAGATGGCCGATACTCATAGTAGAGGACCCGACCACGGTCATACTTTTGCAGTGTTATAAAGGGAGTAGTAGTCACAATTTAACAATCTCTTAAAGATAGGAAACAAAAAAGAAAAAAAAGATTAAAGTACATGCCTGACAGAAAGGATGGATGTATCAGACACACAGGAGTAAATCAAAATACACGCCAGACAGGCGCAGAAGGCAGCTTGCAACAGCAACAACCCACCCAAGCTGACACTGCAACAGGTTTACCTCCCCAACAGCAGCAGTAAGACTGTTTTATCCTCCCAACAGGTACAGATGTACGGAAGGACAGTTATCCGGATCCCTTCTCATATTCGCAAGGGTAGAGCGAGTGATGATGGACTGCATGCAACGGTGGCAACCACCAGTTACTGACTTTGGACTAACGCCTCGTTCTGCAAGTGGTGCCTAGGACTCGTTAGCACGTCGTCTGAAATGGGGGGGCATTTCACTCACTCTCCCTCCCTCCGTCCCTCCCTCTCTCTGCCGGAGTTATCCTGGAGTCCTCACTCTCCGCCCCAGCTTCCGCGAAGAAAAGCGGTGGCTCCGCGGGAGAAGTAGTTGCAACCGCGACACGGGCTCTCTCATGACCGTATCATGCACCCACGCAAAGGCTAGGCGCCGTACAAAGACGGCAGGAAGGGCACCGACTTGCCCAGGAAACGCGACAGGCCCACCTCCGGCAGCTGCTGTTCCTCAGGCCTACCCAGGATGGTACTCAGTGTCAGCGGCGGCAAAGACTACCAGGAAGAGGCGGGAGCCTCTTCGGGTACCCGGAACCACAACGCCGAGCACTGCCGCCTGCCGGGACAAAAACAGCGTGAACATCCGGGAAGTGAATGAAGGCGAAGGCAGTCGGCGCCTCCTCGCTATGTCGGATTGGCAGCGCCGAGCGAGAGGAGTAGCCAGCCAGCAAGCCCTGGCGCCAGAGGAGCAGGGCCGCTGGTCTTGGTGGGGGAGAGATTAAGCCGGGGCACACGTCTGCGCCCTTAGAAATACGCCTCAGGGTGTTCTGCAGAATTTATACTCAGGGAAGCATGTTTACGGTAATCGGTCTTCCAGATAGAGAAGACATTTGGGCGGAGTTGTTTTTCGCTCCACCTTTGAATAACAACTTGCCAAAGCGATAGTTACTGTTCAGAGTGGCGAGGATTTTGTGCTTGAGCCAGGAAAGCAAATGGTACAAACTTACTGGGTTCTTGTTCACTCAGATAGCCTTGATATAATCTATTTGCCTATTGTAACTAAAGGGTTTTCTCGTGTACTGTACCAGAAAGAAGCCAGTGCCTTTTTTTTTACAAATGGCATATTTTGATTTACAGTAGTTTCCATTTTACACCCTATAAATCAATCCTGAGTGCTGACTGGAAGGACAGATCCTGAAGCTGAGGCTCCAATACTTTGGCCATCTCATGAGAATACTCCCTGGAAAAGACCCTGATGTTAGGAAAGTGTGAAGGCACGAGGAGAAGGGGACGACAGAGGACGAGATGGTTGCATGCAGTCCATCATCACAACTCCGGGAGGCAGTGGAAGACAGGAGGACCTGGTGTGCTCTGGTCCATGGGGTCACAAAGAGTCAGACATGACTTAACACCACCACCTTCTTTCTCTTTATACGTTGGACCATAACTGTTTTTCAATAATTTGGAATCTTGTTTTTTAATTTTTTACTCTGGTTAAAAAGCATGTTAATTAGTTTTGGGGAGTGGGGGAGGCCACCCACTGAAATCAAGAACACAACCAACGAATTCTGTTAAGTTAGGTTGCTTCAATAGACTTGTTTTGAAATTCTTGTAGTACAGTGTTTGTGAACTGATGTTCTCCCTGTTCATGACTAGATAAGTATGCTTTTATTTATGTAGTCGATTTCAGAATGTGATCAACTGCTAAGATACCCTCCTCTCTTTTAAAAAAAAAATTAATAAAAAAATACAAAATACAACAACTACTACTACAGAAAAGAAAAACTATAAAATACAAAAAAAAACAGTGCACCCATCACCCTCAGGACTAGCATTACACTTCATTCCATCCATTTTCCTTCCAAAATTTTATTGTTTCTTCATTCGGTGTACACCCCCTCCCTCTCCGAAATACATGTTCTAAAAATACATTCCACATTTTCTTAAAGTCATTTTTCGTTTGGCCCCTACTTATTTTCATGTCACATGTCAGTTTATCATTAATAGCCATGTCCCACAATTCTCTATACCATTCCTTGAGGTTAAATTGATTTTCGTTTCTCCAATTCCTTGCCATAATTATCCTTGCTGCCGTAATCATTATTACTATTAAACCCTTATTTTCATTCGCCAGTTGATCTTTACTAATATTCAATAAAGCTGTTGTTGGGGACATTGGAATATTCAATCCAATTATTTCAGATATTTCTTTAAATATTACTTTCCATTCTTTCTTTCTTTCTTTTTTCACATAGCCACCACATATGTAAATACGTCCCCTTCTCTTTTTTACAACTCCAACATAATGATGACACCCTTATTTTCATTCGCCAGTTGATCTTTACTAATATTCAATAAAGCTGTTGTTGGGGACATTGGAATATTCAATCCAATTATTTCAGATATTTCTTTAAATATTACTTTCCATTCTTTCTTTCTTTCTTTTTTCACATAGCCACCACATATGTAAATACGTCCCCTTCTCTTTTTTACAACTCCAACATAATGATGACATAGTTTTATCCATCATATTCATTTTGACCGGCGATAAATACCACCTCCATATTACTTTATAACAGTTTTCTTTTATCCTTACTGACATGTCATATGTATCATGATTCTCTGATCCCACATTTTATCCCATTCTTCTATTACTTCTTCATCCAAATCATTTTGCCATTGCATTTTTAACCCTACAGTACCCTGTTCTACTTGATTTAATAATTTTTATATTTGGCTTATAGTTCCTTTTCTTTCTGTCTTTTCCTCTGATTTCAATCTTTTTTCTATAATCTCTTCAAATTTTGTCATTTCTCTACCTTTCCCTTCTTTAGTATACCATTCTCTCGTCCACTTTTCTAATTTAATTAAATTTAACCATGAAAACCCCTCTCCCCCTAGTATCTTTTTTATATCCCCTTTTTCTTTTATCTTCTCTGTCCAGTCTTTTAATCTGCTTATCTGTTTGCTTTTTAATATATTCTTTAAGTTTTTTAAATTTTCTGGAAAATTCCTTAGTTCAACTACCTGAGATAAAGGAGATATCGGTGGACTCAATACCTCTCTAAATTCTTTCCAATTTTCCAACATGTTTATTATAAAAGGGTTTTTAATTTTTTTTATCCCTTCTGTGATTTTTTTTAAACAAGATACTTTCCACAGTTTCTTGTGTTCCTTCCATCTCCTCTCTCCACTTAAAAGAGCCAGTGTATGTAGCAGTCTGTGCAGGAGCTCAGATACCACAGTTTAATGATACAGCTTCTCAGCCAAATTACCTTTTGGTTTTAAAACTAAATCCTTTCCCATGCACTGCATTTTCAGAAATGAATATCATTGTGCCTTACATTTTCCTGTTTCCCCCAGTTCAGTACATTCTGCTGTGTTGACAGAAAACAAAACATCACTGGATGTCAAGCAGCACACTTCTGCAGTCAAAAGAACTATTGCTTTTAGTATTTATTGAAAAATATAACCAGATAAACAAAAGCTAAACTCTACAACAATAAATACTTCAGATCTAAGAACCATATTACAGATTGATGCAAAGGATGTAAACTTTAAAGAGTGCAAATAATGAAATGGGATATCTATTGCAAAGATCATCCTATAAAAAGGGAGGAGGTACAAATTCTTAATAGGCAAAGCATTGGAAAACTACTTTACCCTAAAAATTACCATTTTAAGCACTACAAACCTGAAGCTTGTTTTTAAATAATTAAGTGGCCGTTATAAAAGCTTTAAATAAAATATAGTAATACAAAATATGCTTGCCAGGTCCCAACCTGAATATGTTTTTTTTAAAGTTTGAGGATCACTAGGAATATGCAACAGCAATGATTGTCTCAGTGCTTGCCCACACTTCATTTTCCTGTTCTAGTAACAAGACCCAAAGCAGAATTAAAACAGAAATAGAAGGGGAAAGAGGAACATTCATATGCATTAAGTCTTATTCCAGGTGCCCAGCACAATCTTTTGTCTGGAGTTTAACATCCGTGAAAAAGTCATTTATCATCTTCCTTGCATACAGCAAGTTTAAAAGAGTTTTTATAAAAAGGATCAGTGCTTACAAATGGAACTGTGAACATGCATTCAAAATAACTATGAAAATATGTAACATAGTCAACATTAAACTATTGCCTTATCTGCTAAAAAATCATTATGTCATGCTGACAGCTCCACTACATCAATGCAGTACCTCCCCACAACATCCTAGTGATATAAACTAGCGATAAGATCAAAAAGAGAGAACACAGATGCGTATCATTGTGCTGGTCACCTCTCTGATACATTTTTCAGCCTTGCTTTTAATACTGTTTCGTAATGTCTTTTAGAAAATAAACCCATGGCCTTTATCATTGATAGCGGCTGAAATTCAGGGAAAACTTGCAAAGGTTTTCAATTACAGTGTTATTAATTTTTGTGGATACCTAGTGTGGCATAGTGGATAGAGTGACAGACTAGGACTCAGGGAACCTGGGTTCAAATCTTTGCTCACCATGAAAACTCATTGGGGGTGTGGAACTGGTAAAACCATTCCTTAAATACCTCACTTACCTTGAAAGCCCTCTATTAGGGTCACTATAAGTTGGTCCTGACTTGACAACATGGAGCAACGATAATTTTTTGTGTGTAGGAGAACTACCTATATGTTCATTGCAGGAATAACATTACATCCTACTATATTTAGAATGGATAACTTTTGTAAAACATATTTCTCCATTATGTGTTAGAATCTATTCTTCTGACAAGTTCAGGAAGAACAACTGTGATATCCCCCTTTCCACCTAATACCTAATTATTCTTTTTTCTGTTATAATATATCCTGTTTCTCGCCATCTTTGGGAAAAAAATTTATTCTATCTTTTAATTTCTGTAAATTATTTTTTGTGATGTGATATGTTAATATGTTTATTTTTTTTAAGTGTATGTTGTAAGCCGCCTAGAGTGGTCACAATTGACTAGACAGGCGGGGTATAAATGAAATAAATAAATAAATAAATAAAATAAAACTGTGATCTCAAAGGTGTTAACTGGCCACACTGTTTCTGATATGTTGAGGAAACATATTAATGAAAAGGGAAAAAACTGGCCCACAAATCTGCAGACTGATGAGCAGCCGAGGCACAAAAAGCACCAGTTCAACAAGTGTTGAGCTCTCCTTACATGTTGCAACAGTGAGACAAAAGGGTCCATTGTACTTGCAAATTGATATGCTGACCAAATACCCTATGGCAAACTTAAGAACTCTAGAATTATGAACTGCTGGATAACCCCTTGGTTTAGGTATCTGGCTGCGGGGGAGCCACCCACCGGTCAGGAGCCTGAGTCCCCATTATGTTTCCTTGACAGGAGCTAGGCTTGAATAGGGTCCCTTCCAGCTTTGCAGTTCTAAGATGATAATTAAGGTTAGGGATTTTCTTGCAAGGTGCCTTTCCTTTCAAAACAATGCTAAGCTCACATGATTTATAAAAAGACCAATTCCAAATATTTTTATGTTCAGAAGCTTATTAAAAAACCAAAAACCTTGCTTGGAAGTAAGCCCTAATAACTTCAGTTCTACTACTGACTGCATACACACAGGATTAGGCTATAGTTGGGCAGGAGTATCTCACAGTATGGCTATAAATCAGGAAGAGGAGTATCTCACAGTATGATTATAAATCAAGGTGACATCAGCATTCTTTAGTTTTCTCCAACCTAGTGAAATGCAGAAAACAGTCCTTGGAAACTAGCACCTCTGTAGTAATGCTTTCAAGAAATGGACTAGAACCAATGGCTCTGTCTTTGGGTTCCAGAAATTGCTGCTTCAATATCACCTGAAAATTTTACTTCTGGGATGATGATCCAGTTAAGAACTTCCAAACTTTTTAAAAAAAGTATAATACCACATTTTGATACCTGTATAAAATTCCCTTAAGAGACATGACCACTTTCCGTTTGAAAAAGTACAAAATGGTTGTCAGTACAATACAATCAAAGTGTGTAAAAATAGATCAGTGGTACTGAAGAGCAGCTTTCCCTCCTGCTGTCTGAAATAATGCAGTGCGACCTTCACTGATCCTATTTTTTTTTAAAGGTCTTCTCATAATTCTTCAAGATCAGTTAAATCCACCACAACTTTCAGGAAGAGTGTGTCATCTTTGATGTAGGTACTCTTTCCGCTTTCCAGCAAAGTGTGTGGAACAAATCGCGGACAGCCAGAGGCAACATTCATTTCTCCTTCTGGCCTTTTGAAGCTGTTGCTGTTAGGGTCAGCCTTAAAGGTTTCAACAATGTGGTTTTTCTTTCCACTTTGGTCCAGAAGCATGAGTGTAACTTTTTGCTTAAAAGGCCACGGTAGCAGTGAATCAAACTCGCCTCTCATTACCACAAAGTACAAGGAAACATGAGTTCCTTTTCCTGAACCATCTCCATTCAGATAGGCTCTGGCAGATAGTCTATACCCACAGCGACTGGTATAAAAAGGCTGGCTGAATATGGAGAGACAGTGGCCTTCCACAGCCTCTTTTTTCTTCATCTTATAGTCCACTATTTTCCAAATGAGTTTCCCATTGTAACTTGTCCCTTCCAACAGCTTAAATCGTTCTTCATTTTTGTTAAGTTGTGCTCTGTGGATACCAAGGTGGACATCATGTTGGTTGGATAAGTCTTTCAGAACAACTGCAGAAGAAAGATGCATAAAATCAGGATGGTGGGTGAGGTAGGTGGGATTCAGACATACACAGATTAGTAGTGCCTAAAAATATACACCAGGGAAGGGTAAAATGAGGCCCTCACTCCTGTTTTTGGCAATGAACTACCTCCTTCCTTTTCAGTGTTAAAGCTGGGTGTGAGTTCAGACCTTGTTTTATAGTAGAATTACATTACAAGAAGCTTCTAGGAAACATGGTTCTCCTCTAAAACAAGAACCAAATGAATCCCCTCTCACAAACTGAAGTAAAGATGAAAAACATTTCCAGTTGCTGCTATACTGACTTTTAGTGGATGGTTGAACCTACAGTGGGACTCACAGGTCAAAAAGTGGACCATCGGCCAAACCTGGTTTATCTGATTGTTCAGAATCTTTTGTCACTCTTGTATAAAGGTCACAACTGGGACACAATTGAAACGTATAAAATTATGCAGGGGATGGATAAAGTGGATAGAGGGAACCTCTTTTTCCTCTCATGCAATACCAGAGCTAGGGGACATCTGCTCAAATTGAATGTTTGGAAAGTGAGAGCAGACAAAAGAATTTTTTTTTTTTACCCCGCATGTGTTAGGATGTGGTGATGGCGTCTGGCCTAGATGCCTTTAAAAGGGGACTGGACAGATTCCTGGAGGAAAAGTCTATCACAGGTTACAAGCCATGATGGGGATGTATAATCTCCAGGCTTAAAAGGAAGGTACTTCAAAATGCCAGATGCAGGGGAGGCATATCAGGAAGCAGATATCTAGTTGTCTCGTATGCTCCAAGAGGCATCTGGTGGGGCTACTGTGAGATACAGGAATCTGGACTAGATGGGCCCTTGGCCTGATCCAGCAGGGCCACCTTCTTATGTTCTTAAAGGTCATTAACAGTCAGTACAGTTGCAACTAGAAATGTTTGTCCCCATTCCTTCTGTTAGTGAGAGGGAATCCGGCATTACTGTTCTTTGTAAAGGTAAAGGTTCCCCTTGACATTTTTTAGTCAGTTGTGTTCGACTCTGTTCTTTGTACTTTCTTCTAATTTCAGGGGGCACTGAAGTTAAGAATCATTCATATGTGAATCTTCAAGACGGGCAATTCTAAATTACTAACTCTGACAACCAAACTTGTACTACAAAGAACTTGTATTACAAAGAACAATCCTATCAAGTTGAGCCTGAAGCAAAGCTAGCAAAGTAACAATTCATTCTGTAAGCCAAATGAAATCATGTCACTCTTTAAGCTCTGTAAAAGTTTATGGAGAAGGCAGGGGATCCATGAGCCACTGTGTAGTCACAGCCCTCATGGTGTACCAAATGGGTGTTTTCCTGTCCTGCAGAGAGAATAGTTCAGTCTGAAAGACCAAAATGCCTAAAAACACACTACAAGCTTGCATTATATAGGTGCTTTTTGATGTAAGTGAACCAGTTAGTGATTAAAATCTCTTATCTAGATGGAATTTTTAAATCCACAAATCATACACTTAAGTAAATTAAGTACAGTATAAGCTAATGTTTGAGAGATGTTTTTCCCACAAACCACCTCCATAGTTTCTACCAGGAACTGCTAACCTGTTCCATAAAATCAGGGCACTTGACAAGAAAAGAATTCTGGAAGTACCTAAACGTTGCTCATATGATTCCAAGAAAGCAACTTTTTGCTTTATGTTGTCAATGGTCTGCAGCAGCGGTCTCAGGTCAAATTTACTCTGTTGTTGATTTGCCATTTGTACCAACTGTCTCACTTGTGTTTCCAGGCAGGCAGATTTATCAATATGAACTGCTAGAGTCTTCATATTACGTGATGGATGTAAGGGGGATGGAGAAGAGAAAAGACATACAGATTTTATTAAAGTTGGAAGACAGAAGCTGATTTTCAATTATTTATGAAACCTTGCCTACTTCAGGATTAACATTTCTCTTCTCTTTGAATTTCTTTCCAAATGTTTCTACTTAATAATATTCATTATTCATCATGTATTTATTATTTTCATGACCTCAAAAGATTCCAGTGGGCTTTGTTATCCAATTTTGATGAACAAACAGAAAACAAAAATTCTGCATTTATTGGTTGGATACAGTCATACCAGAAATGCTATTATAATTTCAATGTAGATGAAATATGCTATTCTGTGCAGTTAGTATCATTCAGAACCACAGGATACTAGTAGTAACCCCCAAATTGTGCTATTACGTCGTAGATCTATTCTTCATGAACACAAGCAACTGACTTGGCGTGTGAAGGATATACAAGGAAAGCTACTTTGAGCATATGGTATAATGGTTAAACTGTAGGACTTCAGTCAGGCTTTTGCTCATGATTTGATTTCGATCCCGATGGGCTCAAAGTGGCCAGTGCAAGACTGACTCAGTCTTTCCTTCTGAGGTTGGTAAAATAAGTACCCATCTTGGTGGGGACAGCATAATTATGTTGTGAAGCGCTCAGAGAGTGCTCTAACACTATGGGCTCGAAACAAACAAGACAAACGAATGAAGCTGGAACATTAGCTTACTGGAGCTAAACTTCAACACAATCTGCCCTTTGCAACATTTCATAGTAATTTCTGTGGTATAACTTCACAATTCACAATGGACAGAGTTCCTACTCCAGTCCTCCAGATGCCGGCCACAGAGACTGGTGAAACGTCAGGAAGAACAACCTTCAGAACACGGCCAAAGAGCCCGAAAAACACAACAACCACCTTCGCAATTTATTTTTTTGCCTCTCAATCTTCATGAAAAAAGAACAGTCTGTGTTAACACTCTTAAGTTATTATCTGCAGAAACTGCTGAAAATACTAATCAGGGAACACATAAAAATCTGTAATGCTATCTTGAGAGTGATCATGCAGATTAGCTGGTAGGCGTCAGCTGCCCCGGTAACTTATTATCCCTCATCTTTCTTATTCATTCACAATATCTAGTTGATGCTGTTTGTACAGATCATATTTTCCAACTGCATCAGGGTATTTCCTTCCTACTCTGTGCCACTTAATGGAATTTTATATAGATGGAAAATTCATATACCTAACTGCTGAAAATATTTGAACTCTTCTACAATACATTTTGACAACAATATCAGACCATATCTTGGTCCAGAAGCCAAGAACACGACTTATCCACCTACCATTATTTTCTACCTCCACTTGTCTTTCTAACTTTCAAAACAAGTGTCATGAGTTCCTTAGAACCAGGCACTTACTTTGCTGGCTTGTGGAATTACTCTGTGGTCCTATGTAAACATGCCTACCTATGACATGCACATCTTTGTATTTCACTGGATACTTCTGACCACTCAAAATGCTACTCACTTCTCACACCAATAAGATCCAAAAGTGTAAGAAGAATCAAGTGATTAAAATTATTAATTTTAAAATCATTTTGTGCAAATGATTGGAGAAAGAACACCTGGTATATGCCAGAGCCGATGACTGCCAGCGACCACTGAACACCTGTGGCCGGAGCCGTGTCTTGGAGCCGTACCCCAGTTGTCTGGCCTGCTCGGCCTGCCCCTGGTGGTGGTGGTGGGCTTGCCAGAGCCGACAACTGCCAGCAGCCACCGAACATTTGCTGCGACCTTTGTCTGGCCTGTTTGGCTTGCCCCTGGTGACAGAGGGGACTTGTCGGAACCTGCGATTTCCGGCAACTGCCGAACATCTGCAGCTGGAGCATCTGCTGTCAACCACCAAACATCTGCAGCCAAACATCTGCAGCCTTGTCTGGCCTGCCCGGTTTACCCCCAGTGAGGGGGAGGCTGCTGGTGCTGACAATTGCCAGCCGCTGCCGAATACCTACTTGCCTTATAGTTTAATCTAGATCCATATGGAACAGAAGGAACAGGAAGGGAGAAGGGCAGTGGAAGGAGCAGCGATCAAATTAATGATGGGTAGAGGAAGGTATGGTGGAGAGGGTAGAACAGGCCCACGTAGGAGAAGAGGGGTTATTTATTTATTAAATTTATATCCCGCCCATCTAGACCAAAGTCTACTCTGGGCAGCTCTGGGTTAGAAACCTCACATCTATCCCCTCTTCTAGTTCTGCCCCCTACCAAAGAATGACCATATCAGTATGCCCTTGAGCCACATAGTGCGGTTAATGAACGCCAGGTCAGTGCAAAAAAAGACCACCCTCATCCATGACACAATTTGGAATGGGGGGGTGATCTGACATGCATCACCAAGACCTGGGTGGGAGAGGAGGGTGGCGTCCCCCTCTCCCAGATGTGTCCACCTGGGTACTCGGTCCAGCACCAGGGTCTCTCAGAGGGTCGGAGAGGAAGAGTTGCAATAGTCTATAGGAGCTCCATCTCCTTGACCAGGCTTCCTGTCCCTTTGAGAGGAGGTCTTGAGGGCCTGTATTGTGTGTTGGGCTTGCGAGACAGATTGGGGATTCTGCTGGTGTACCGCCCACCCTGCTGCATACCAACAGTCTCCCTGCCTGAGCTAACGGAGGAAGTCTCAGACCTGGTGTTAAGGACTCCCAGGCTGTTGGTACTGGGAGACCTCAACATCCATGCTGAGGCTGCCTTGTCAGGAGTGGCTCAGGATTTCATGGCCGCCATGACAACCATGGGGCTGTCTCAATATGCTGTAGGCCCAAAACACAAAAAGGGCCATACCTTGGACTTGATCTTCTCAACAGGATTGGAAGATGGTGGTCTGGATGTGGAGGGGCTGGTAGCTGGTAGTGACCCATTGTCATGGTCAGACTACTTCCTGGTCAAGTTTAGACTATTGGCATCCTCTTTCCTCTGCGAGGGTGGGGATCTATTAAGATGATCTGCCCTCGGAGACTAATGTAAGGTTTTCTGAATGCTCTGGGGGAATATCCATCTGATATGGTCAGAGCTCCTGTTGAAGCTCAGGTCACCTTGTGGAATAAAGAGATGACCTGGGCAGTTGACACGATCGCGCCTAAGCACCCTCTCCCCACCCGCAGAGCCCAGATGGCTCCTTGGTATACACTGGAGCTCTGGGCAATGAAGTGTGTAAGAAGACGACTAGCATGCAGGTAGAGGAAATCAAGCTGTGAATCTGACTGAATACGGCTCAGAGCCCATTATCGGGCCTCAGAGCCTGCATAATTAACTTGTAAACCGCCCAGAGAGTGCTTGAAGCGCTATGGGGCGATATATAAGCAGCACGCTTTTTGCTTTTGCTATTCCATGGCAATAAGGCTGGAAAAATGACAATATTTCACCATCCGCATTGCTTCCTCTGAATGTTGTCCAGCAGAGCTGTTTCGGGTGGTTCGTGATCTCTGGCCGGGAGAGTCAATGAGGACACAGGACCACTCGGCAACTCGCTGTGAGGAATTTGCGTTACATTTTGAGGGAAAATTGCTCAGATTCACAGTGAACTGGACTCCACCACTGATGCAGAATCAGAGAATGTGTCCAGTGTGCCGGGCTTAGGTCAAATTTTAATGGATGAATTTCAATTATTGAGACCCGATGATGTGGACAGGGTGCTTGGATCTATCCAGTTTACCACCACTCCACTCGACCCTTGCCAATCTTGGCTAATTGGGAAATCTGCCAGGAAGTTGTCAAGGTTTCCTTGAGAGAGGGAGTGGTCCCTGCCACCTTAAAAGAGGCGGTGATTCTACCACTCCTTAAAAAGCCTAATCTGGACCCTAACTATCGGCCGGTGGCGAATCTCCCTTATTTGGATATGGTGTTGGAGCAGGTGGTGGCCAGGGAACTCCAGGCGCTGCTGGATGAAACGGATTTTCTACATCCATTTCAAGCGTGTTTCAGGCTGGGTTTTGGCACGGAGACTGCCTTGGTCACCCTGTATGATGACCTTTGCGGGAGAGAGACAGGGGGAGTGTGACCCTGTTGATACTCCTGGACCTCTCAGCAGCATTTGACACCATTGCCCATGGTGTCCTTCTGGACAGATTAGCTGGGTTGGGAGTTGGGGGCACCATTTTACAGTGGTTCCGCTCCTTTTTGGCTGACCTTGTCCAGAAGGTGGTGCTGAGGGACAATGGCTTCGCCTCATGGCGGTTATGCCATGGGGTTCCTCAGGGCTCAATATTATCCCCCATGCTGTTTAAAATCTACATGAAGCCATTGGGAGAGGTCATCAGGTTTGGGCTGAGGAGTCAGCAATATGCTGACGACACTCAGCTCTACCTCTCTTTCTCCACCAATCCAGGTGAGGCAGTCTCTAAGCTGAACTTGTGTCTGGACCTGATAATGGACTGGATGAAGGCTAATAAATTGGACCTTAATCCAAACAAGATGGAAGTGCTGTTAGTGGGTGGGTTCGCCGGACAGGTTAAATGGCCATTTCCCTGCCCTGTATGGAGTTACACTCTCCCTGAGGGTCAGGGTCCGCAGTCTGGGGGTGCTCCTGGGCCCGGTCTGGCCCTGGAGGCCTAGGTGGAGTCAGTGGCCAAGGGTGCCCTCCTGCCACTGCAGAAACTGTTCCAGCTACGACCCTACCTGGACGAACGGAGTCTCATGACAGTCACATATGCACTGGTAACAACCCATTTAGATTACTGCAACTTTACGTGGGGCTGCCTTTGAAGATGATGCAGCTACTACAGCTGGATCAGAATTGAGCTGCGCGACTGGTGAGTGGAGGAGCAACGAGAGACCCTATTCAGCCGATTCTGGCCAGGTTAGATTGGCTACCCGTTGTTCCCCGGGCCCAATTCAGTGCTTGTTTTGACATATAAAGCCCTAAATGGCTTGGGCCCTGGATACCTGAAGGACCGCCTCCTTCCATACAAAACTACCTGGCCTCCTTCCATACGAAACTACCCAGGAAATGAGATCTAGCCAGAAGGCCCTCGTAAAAGTCCTTCCTCCGTGAGGTGAGAGGGATGGCCTGTAGGTGGAGGGCCTTTTCAGCAGCTGCCCCCAGTCTATGGAGCGCCCTCCCAAACGACATCCGACTGGCGCCGACGTTACTGACATTTCGGCGCCAGGTTAAAACTTTCCTCTTCCGGATGTTTTTTAATTGAAGTTTTTAATTTTAATTGATAGTTCTGGATCTAGATTGATTTTGTAGACTGTTCTTGTTTTATCTGTATTGGTTTTTAGTGTGTTTGTTTTAATTGAATTGTTTTAAATTGATGTTGGAAGCCGCCCGGAGACGCTTGCAGAGTGCGGGCGGCATACAAGTCAAATGGATAGATAAATAAATAAATAAATTTTTAAAAATGCATAATAAGGATACAAAAATATATCCAAGATCTCACATGTCATCAGAATTTACTAGGGATGGCTCTTTCAAAATGAATGAACTCTCAACCCCATAATTTGGCAGGAACAATCCAAGTTGGGAGCCCTCAAAGTGACAGGAGGTAGAGCAGCCGTTCTACCTGCATGCCATTCCCACACTTTCTTCAATGCATTAGAAAAGTGATCTGCTACTTTGTGGGAGGAGTGAGGACTCCCTGCAAGTTGCAAAAGTGCGTGGGGGAGCAAGTTTCAAAGGAGGCTGCCTCCATAAAGAATGCAGCCTCATTCCCCCAAAGATCTTTCTGAGTTGCAGAGAATCTTCTGAAGAGCCTCTTAGTGCAGTGGTTAAACTGTAGCACTGCAGCCAAAATTCTGCTTATGGTCAGTGTTTGATGCTACCAGTTCTGACAGCCAGCTCAAGTTTGAGTCAGTGTTTGATTATACCAGTTCTGACAGCCAGCTCAAGTTTGACTCAACCTTTCATCTTTCCAAAGTTGATATAATGAGCATCTAGCTCGTGGGGTAGGAGTGGAGGCAATGCATAGCCTGGATAATTAAAAAAAAGTAAATTCCTTTAAGCACTATGGGGCAATACCTAAAAAAGCAAAGCATGCTGCTTATATACTGCCTCATAGTGTATAAAGCACTCTCTGGGTGATTTACAAGTTAATTATGCAGGCTACACACTGACCCTGCCCCCAGTGAGCTAGTTACTCATTTTACTGACCTTGGAAGGCTAAGTAAAAATACGGGAAGCAAAAACAGAAAAGCAGCACACTTTGCTTTGTTTCTTGCTGCCTGCAGTACAGCAGTGCACTTTTCTAATGCATTGAAGAAGGTGTGGGAAATGGCATGCCTTTGAGGGCTCCTAGTCCCATAATTCAGCTGAGAGGGTTTCTGACAAATAATGGGACCGAGAGTTTGTTAATTTTGAGAATCCTATCCCTAGTATCTACCACAATGTAGGCTACATGTCACTTTGCATAGCTAATATCTCTTTGCAGACAGTCTGTTATTGTTTTTTTGTTCAATCATTAAAAAAAACCCACAGGCAGTGAAACTGTGGAGGAAAACAACTGTCTTACCTGAGTGCCTGCTAGCAGCAGGTTGCTGTTTTTACCATATAGTGTGAACTGCCTGAATTCTTTCTCACATTTTTTAACCATCTCTGCTAACTGCTGGATCTTCACCTCTTTATGCTCTAGGTTCTTGTAAAGCTCAGAGATCTACAAAACAAAAAGGAAAAATATATGAACTAAAGCTATTATAAATGAAAAAAAAGTTAGAAACCGGATTACATAAAGAACCTGAAAGAGCTTATTTCTGTTATTATAGCTTTACATTTCCCACTCATAGTGGAATCAGTGGGAAGAGGACCCTAGAGGATCATTCATACATCACTTTTGGTCAAGGCTACAGACCTTGCAATCTGTCTTGATAAACATAAAGTATAGCAGTGCATCAAGGCATGAATAGCCCTCTGTTTCTGCCAACAGTTTGGAGAGCAGAGCTATGCACTTAAAGTGTAAATTACGGCAGGTTGACCGTATTTTTCTCACACACCGAACTTGGGAAAGTTACCTGTTTGGGGTACAACTCCCAGAATCTCCTAGCCAGCATGGCCAGTGGGCATGTAAGCTGGAGGTTGGGGTTTTGGTAGTCCAAAAGCAGCAGTCCAGAAAGTAACTGTTCCAAGCTCCGTTGACAGACCACAAGTCATGTACGTCTGCTTTCTACACTGCGCAGATGACTAAAATCAAATGGTTCAAAATAATTTTCCAGTGGTCTAGTGTGGTCTCTTCAGTTGCTCAACAAAAAGATTAGTTTATAACCACATTCCAGTAGACTACATAGTGTGAGACATTTTTTAAAAAAATTATTGCCTTATGCATACTCTTCAGCATAGATAGTAATGCATAAGAAAGAAAAACAGATAGCTGACAATCAAAACACATTTTTTCCAGGATGTGGTCAGACACAGATCAGAACATTATAGGGGATTAAGAGGGTGCCGTTTTCATGAGAACAGGGGCCTGCCAAAAACTGTGTAAATGTCTTCCTCCTGGCCTTTGCATTATATGAGGAACTAAAATGAATAGCACACACTTAAGACAATAAATAAGCTTTCTTGATTTAAAAAAAGAGCTCATTTATTTCATTGTAGTAATACATGTTATACATCTCAGAAGGTACCAAGAAACTTTTAACACACACCATTATCTCCATTCTCTTAGGGAAGAACATAGAGTCAGACAGCTTAAACTAAGATATAGGTGGTTTTACCACAAGGAACAGAAATGTCAAATCATTAAAAATTAAGTAAAAATGTAGGACAGAAAATTAGATACAAAAATATAGATAAATCTAGATATAGATGTATTGAACATAATACTTTGTAATGCTCTTAAAACTGGCTGTTGCAGGGTTTGTGAGTTTGATTATTTATCTGTACCTGCCTATCGGCTGCTAGCCACTCAGAGTCTTGAAAGCTCTCACTGCTGATGGAATAAAATTAAGGAAACCAATTGTTGTCAGCTTCTGCACGGACAACACTGTAACTGTAGCTTCTGAAGCATTTAAATTAAATATGTTTTTAGTATTTATTTTATTTACCATATTTAATATAATGTTTAATTCTTTTTAAATATTTGTACATTTTTAAATATTTGTATATGTTTTTAGCTTTTAAATATTTTCTTTTAATGATGTAAGCTGCCTTGGGTCCTGTTTAAGGAAAAAGACAGGATAAAACATTTTAAGTAAGTAAATAAATATTTTAATGGCCTTGGGTAACTAGTTCTTTATTATCTTTGTCAGATAGTCATTGCAGTCCTTTACATTAGGAAACTATAAATGAGTGAAACTGATCTCCCCCCCCCTTACCCCAATTCCTCCTTATGTAACAGATCAGATGGATGGATGTAGTAGAAGACCGGAGAAATACTAGAGAAACACACACTGAGACTAAAAAGACTGACTTCAGTCCTTAATCAGGGTGGGAATCTCCTCCTTTCTGATTCAGCTTTTGCACTAGATCCAGAAGTTCAGTCTGTTGCTTAACCTATCTTCCATTAAATCTGATTGGTGTGCCAGCTGTACTCTTTCTGGGATAAAGAAGATATTGTAGAATGATCCATTGCTTTATAATGTCTACCTGGGGTGACTACAATGAAAGGATGGTTGAAAGTAACTAGGTACAAGTATTGTAACTACATCCTCTTTGGGTAATGAGGTGTAACTAAGTTACATTTCAGAAACAACATAATGGTCATTCATGCTGGTGAATCAGTGGCAGATTGTTATCAGTTAATAAGTTGCAGCTTATACTCCTTGTGCATCAGTTGCATGATTTGGCATATGACAAGAAATATTAGCAGTGACTTATTAACTAACAGCAATTTGCCACTGAGATTTGTGTCACTGCACTTCTGCAGTGGCATAAATGAACAACTACAGTTCTGTATGGTGTGTAACATTTTCTAATTACTTTCTAAGGCCAATTTAAAGCATTTTAAAGAAGAAATTTGACTTGATTTTTCAAGTTTTATGTCGCTCTCCAATCATCCTAAATGGGAAGGAAAATATTGTTTTATCTTGTATTTCATATTTAAAAAAATATTTTCAAAGCATAATTTCAGTATCAGCCACTAAGGAAACTGTTTCCAATTGTTATTTATTTCAATAATCTTGTGGCAAAGTGGACACATATACTTTAAATAAAATGAGTGAATGTTTCTCAATGAGATATAACTGATAAGACAATCTAACTGCCTAGAATGCAAGGATTTTGCTATAGAAGACTCAAAAGGCACCTTCAGACAGAGGTGGTACTGTAAAATGCATGTTGAGAATGCAGAAAAAGCCACAATTTAGGACAAGAGGCCTGGGCTTTGAATTATGTGTACTAATTTCTGAAGATGAAGCAAAACTTCTTATCATACATTTGTTGAATTCATCTTTTTCCCATGTTATTTGTGAACAAGAATACATTTGTGCACATACATGTTCTGAGCTCTGTGAGAATGCCCTTCCTTTAACTCAGTGTCATCACTCTTTCTGAAACAGGCCACCTCCTTTGTCTGCCTAAGTTCCAACATTAGCAAGAATCAAAAGGGTGGACAGTATGTGCGGCCACAGGTCTGGTTTGCTTGATTTGCCAGCTGCACTGCTGCAACTGCTGACAACACTGTGCCACTGAAAAGCCGTGTCTCTCCAGTTTATGCCCCTTTAGCCCAGGAATCAATGGGGGCGTTTTCTAGTTTTCCTTCCTAGAATGGTATGGAGAGGTACCATTTTGTCACTTCCCACTGGAAGCGCTCTAATGCTCCAACATATCAGCAAACTCTGGGTTGGGGGTTTGAAGTGAAAAGAAGATGTAGGAACCTCTTATCCATCTGGATGCAGTGGACGCCAGCAGATTGTCTCTCTGCCTCCCATAAATATCAAAGTGGTTTGAAACAGGAGTTGCTGCTTGTAGTCTGTTATTCTTATAAATATTGGGAAAAAGAGTTTTGGTCTGCCCAGTGAGTGGATGGAAGACCTCCTGGGATCCCCTTTAGTTCTGTGGTGGAAGAAAGGGAGGATATAAATCTATCCTCCCTCCCCCCCCCAAAAAATCAGGCAATTGTAAGACTATGATAGACTTTCGCAAATATACTTTGAACTTTAAGCTCATTATTTGTTTCCAGCCTTTGGCAGAATCGCCCTGCATGTTACATTATACCTGATCTTCCAGTTTTGAGTTCCTATCCAAGATCTGTAGCATATGTTCTTTCAAGTAGGCATTCTCATGTTCTGAAAGCTTCTCTCTTTTAATCTAAAAGTAAAACATAATGAATTGAGAACAAAGCAAGCTTGACTCATTATAAAACAACCAGATGAAAAAAAATTGTTAAAATAGACCAGACCAGGCTTGTCCAACCCGCGGCCCAAGGGCCGCATGCGGCCCAGGTCAGCTCGCAATGCAGCCCAGGTCAGCTTGCAATGCGGCCCAGTGCAATTTTTTATTTTTAAAGAAATTCCAAAGTTTCAAGTTACACTGCGGGCGCTTACAGCCGGAATGTGGCCGGGCATGTCACAACAGTAGAGGGGAAGAGAGGGAAGGAAGGAGTGGGAGGGGAGGGGACGGGGGGGCTGCATGACTGCACTGCGCCGTCCCCGTCAACAGGTGGATCCCCTCCCGGCCCCATAAAGCCACCGGAGTCGAAGCTGGCAGCCTCTGCTGTCTGAGATCGCAGCTGCCAGTAAGCGCGCTTGGAGCGGGGCTGCGGAGGACGGCTAGGGCTGCCCCCCTTGCGGCCCAAACCAAATGTATGTGCGGCCCAAACCAAATTTTCATCTTCTAATGTGACCCAGGGAAGGTGAAAGGTTGGACACCCCTGGACTAGACCAAAGAAGGCCACAAACAGCATAGTCTCTTTTCTCATTGAAGAGGTTTGCCTTGCAATACGGTACCTTTGTCAGACAGCCGTACTGGTTATATGGACAATCAATTTCCACCTCAGGACATACTGAAACATGATCTTCCACCTGCAAGGATCAAGGTTAATGAAGTATAAAGAATGATGAGTTAAATGTTCTTTATTAGCGGTACAGACAACAAGCAAGATGGTATTTTGATGAAAAGAATATTGTCTCATCCCCAATACTGTGGCTGTGGGTACTAATGCACTTATAAACATCTTCCTTGGTGACAACTTCCCTGACACCATCCCCCCTCCCCAAAAAGGAATTTCTTTAAAAGAATACTTTCGGAACTGCAAAGTAAAGCAGTTGGTTTCCAGCCACCTACTAATATCCTTTCCTTCTTCCCAAATTTCTGTGCCACCTGTGTGAGCCAAGAGGGACTCTTAGGAAATGAAGACAAAGAGCTGCTAGAGAATAGGGCCTGAATCCAGTGTTGGCATAATGTTTGTGAAATGTCTGGTTGTGCAAACAGTTTTACTTTTCCTTCCCTTGCGCAAGGAGGAGCTCCTGGCCTCCTTTGTATGAGTGATTCACACCCAAAACTGACAACAGCGGGATGACATGCAGGTGAAATGCCAAATGGGCTTTTGAACCCACCTCTGCCCCTCAGAAGCACTACTGGGTGTCAGTACCACCTGCTCCATCTGCCAAATAGCTTGCCACTCCCCCCTCTGCCTGGATCCAGAGGCCATAGAACCACACTGGTGGAGGTTGATGTTTTGCTAGTCATAAGCTGGATCCAGGATTTTGCTTTGCAATGTAATGGGTGGGCTGTAGCTAAAATTTAAGCCTCCCTATCACCCCTCAAAACCTCCACAGACAGAAATGTAAGAGAAGAAAGAGGTTCCAGCCTGGTACGCTTGGGAGGTATAGTGGAGATTACAGAGCGGGCTGACCTTGTAGGGATACTTGCAGGATGGGCTGTGGGGCTTGGAAAGGGCAGGTGGGTACCTGGGGGCTTATAGAGAAGATGGAGTGGCAATTATGGTGGCAAGGATTGGCACAGGCTACAGAGTGACCAGGTGGGTTAACACAGTTTCAAAGCAAACTGTTGTGAAGCGAAGAAACCTGAGGGATGGGGCAGAGGAAAGGCAAACTGTTAAGTAATATTTTGAAGGCACAAGGGCTAGGATGACAGCGATCCTGAGATAACTATTTGTTCAAAGCAGTATTCCACCCCACCCCCCGGAGATCAGACCTCACATCTTGGCAATGTTACTTGTATTCTAGAAATGGCCTTCTTCTGAAGGAGATAAATGTGGATTCCAAGAACTGATTTGGGTATCAGGGCTTTGACCCTGTCTTTGTCTTACATTCAGATTCTTAAATATGTGTATTGTCTTTCAATCTCACCAATACTTTTGTCTGTGATATGGCGGTTTTATGACTGACTGTGGCCCTTACAGTACTTGTGAAAGACAATCTTCTCATGGCAGCCATTTTGTGATGCCACCTGAGGCGCCCAAAAATCCCCAATATCCTCAGCATCATCTTAGAAGTGCAGAGTTCGAAGGGACCCTACAGATCATCAAATCTAGCTCTTGTCAAGGAGGCACAATGAGTAATCGAACTATCAACCTCTGGCTGTGCAACCAGATGCCTAAACCATTCAGCTATGCACCCAATAAGGTCCAAAATGTTGGGGACTCCTGGACTGTTCAATGAAAATCGCAATATTTCAGAGAGCTTGGAATACTTATTTTCGGACTACAGCTCCCAGAATTCTCCAGCCAGTATGGAGATTCTAAAAGTTATGGTATCAACTTTTACTGCCAGAGGCAGGCTAGCAAAATACAGACAATATATTGTTTTTTTCAGAACAGTATACTGTTCGCCTGTGTGTTAAGAGCTAAAAATAATCTAGTACCTCTTTTTTTAGAATTACTTGCATGCAGCCATGGGGACAAATCAAAGGATATTCAGGACAACCTGTTCTCTCATGGATCTGAAAATACATTAGATCTGTTATTCAAGAGAAGCAAACAGATGTGACATTATTTAGCACCATTCATTTAGAAACAAATGGAGAAAGCAATCATGAGCACAATCCACTCCTGTCCAAACCTCATTAAAATGAATGGAATGCACATAACTGTGTGACAGTGTTTTCTCATGAGCTGCACACTTGCACTGCATTCTGTACTCCTGGTGGGCTGCGCTTCTTGTATATACAAAGAGGACCTGCAGCAAAATCTTGCAGTGTGGAGTGTTTAATTTTAGCAGTTAGCTATGCCTTATTTTAGCAATTCCATTCCCTCCTGTTTTTCCATTCCACCCTCCGGTTAGTCAGAACTGTGGCCCAATAATTATTTCTGGTCTTTATTGCATTGTGGCTTGGTGCCCCATAAGTATATATATATATATATATATCGGAGGGAATGGAATATATTGCAGTATTTTGCATGCCTTGTGCAGGAGCCTTATGCTATGGTGATTTAACTGCAGCACTGCAGGGAAGATTCTGCTCATAACCTGAGTTCATTCTTCAGCTCAGGTAGCCAGCTCGAGGTTGACCCAAATTTCCAAGGTCAGCAAACTGAGTACCCAGCTTGCAGGGTGGTATTGGCGGCGGCAAGTTGTAGCCTGTATAATTAAAATTGTAAACCACCCAGAGAGTACTTTAAGTGCTGTGAGGTGGTATATAAGCAGCACACTTTGCTTTTGTTTTGCCTTTTCCCCAAACCTGTTTCTTCCTGATTGCTTATACTGTTTTGCTTTTGCAAAACGCTAATTGTACCTATGATACAAGTTGGTCAACAAATGGAATTTTTAAAAAATCATTTTGTTTCTCATCACCTATCTCCTGCTTATACATATGTGGTGGAAATACAACAACAACAACAAAAAAAAAACAGGCTTGATCAAATGTTCAAAGAGCTGAAAGGCTGGCTCTAATTAGCACAAGCTTCCAGTTTTTGGAACCATTGTATAGAAGCTGCAAAGAATATTTGTCTCTCCCTGCCACCAAACTTTCCTGGCCTCTCAATGCCAATTAATAATGTTTCACTTCTATCAGGCATCTGACAGAATTACAATGAACTTGGGTTAGGCAGTGAAGGAAAAATAAAGATTTTTAACATAAAAAACTTCTTGTCTATTTAGCTAAGTCTGATATTCAAAGAGCAGAAGCTTCAGTTTTGTGGTCATTTATCAATCTCTAAGTCTAAACAAATGCACAGTTTCATAAGCACTAGTGATGTTTAGTGACTGAGAATCACATGCTTAAAACCAACAGTGCAGTCCTTAAGATTCAACAGCAAAATTGTCTTGATTATCTTCAAGACTGAAGATCTCTTTAGAAACTGCTAAGAAGCAATCTCTAAAGTATGTATAGTCCAATCTGTTTAGTATGTTTTTAGCAATTCATAAGTTAAAAACAACAACAACAACCCCGCAATGTTACCTTTAAATTCATTGCAGCAACAGGCTGTTTACAGTACTGGCACAGTTCCTTTCGAAAGTTACAATGCAAATCTAAATGTTCTTTCAAATTCTTTTGAAGAATTTTTTCACAACATCCTTCATTAGTACATTGCACACTTTCAAATGAGCATTGTTGAAGGTGATCCTGTAAAACAGAGTAATATGCTACAGTATATATATTACTCAGATAGTAAATATCACAATGGCAAAACTGAGATTATAAAAGCAGAAAGAAAGAAGAACAGAGGGCAATAACTTCTCTAAAAGATGGACTTAAATCTTCATGAAGCTAGCTGTGTTAATCTGCTGCATCAAAGAAAATAAAGAGCCTATAGTACCCTTAAAACTTAGAAGTTTTTTGGGGGCATATTTATTGGTGAACAATCAAAATTTCCATCACTGCAACAAAACATTCATTTCACAGAAGGCCTGAAGAGAAGTACTTAGCCGAAGAACTTTAATATAAGGCAGAGGTGGTGGTTATGAACAGAGAGTCAAAAACTGTTTTACACGACTTTGCAATCCACCTTGAGGTCCTGTGGTACAGAGCGGACTATAAATGTTTAAATAAATAAATAAAATAAAGAAATAATGTAGCAATTTCTTTGCTGATGTTGCAAAAGCCCTCTTCTCACATACATGGAGGTCTGAGAAAACTGTCCTGGTTCCTGTCTCCAATAAAAAGGCTTGCTTCTATTCAATCACTGATATTCTGTCCAATCCATAAATACATGTGCATAATCTCAAATACTACAGCCAAAGACCTTTTCTTTTTCAGCTGTGGGAGAGTTGGAGGAGATAAGAAAGCAGATGCTACCTCTTCTCTTCTCCTCACCTCACCTTACCTCATCCAACAAACCAATCATTTATTTGGCAGAGGCAACACTAACTCTCTTTACACTGCATTCCCCCAAAATCACAAGGGCTGAAATGCCATTTATAACAAAGAGAAATGTGACTCTTCCATGCATAAAAGAGGTTTACACAGCAGAGTATCAATTCCTTTGTTTGCAGTGTATTGAAACCCACACAGATTGACTAATCTCTTACTCATAATAAGGAAAAATTGCTTTAGAAAGAATGCATTTGCTAATTTGGCTGTGATGACATAGAAGAACAACATTTGGCTCAAATGAACATTAGATTACAAACCTGGAATCGCCCTAGAGATGTTTCTGCATTGCAATCTGGAAAATTTCGGCAGAATACTTGCAAATTGAGAACTTCTCTTTTACAACAATTGTCTTTGAAAACCTAGAATAAAAAGGATAAAACCTTATTTCAAAACACACTGCAGAAACTGAACTACAATAATGCATCATAATCTTTTAAAAACAATGGGATAACATAAACCTCTTTGTAGAGGATCAGTATGCTACATTGTGCTTAGAACACAATGGCAAATTCACACTTGCAGCTGTTTTAAAATTTCCTTGGAAGCTTTAAATTCCCCATTTATTCTTTACCAACATTTCAATAATATTACTCAAAAGTCCTGCACAGACTAATTAAAAAATTTTTTTTGTACAAAATATTTCTTCTCTTACCTCATGAAGTTTTATTATTTCTTTGTCCACGGGACAAGTGGGCACAACATTCTGTTCTCTGCAGAGACATAGAGAAATCTAGGTTATATTTGGTTAAAAAGTTGTAATTAAATGGCAGTCTGGTTCAATCTCCAGTCTAAATCAGGGGTCTCCAAACTTTTCAGTGTTTTCAATCTTCAGTCTAAATCAGGGGTCTCTAAACTTTTCAGTGGGAGGGCTACATAATGTATTTTACACATTTTTGAGGGCTGAAGGAGGGAAGGGGGGGCCAAGCGATTCCCCACGCCCACTGTCTTTCCAAAGACAGGAGGGGTGGGGGATCACTTGGGTCCCCCTTCCCTCCTCTTCCTATGCCCTGGCAGATAAAAAGGCAAGGGAGGTCGGATGTTGCCCGTGGGCCATAGTTTGGAGACCCCTGGCAGGTCGGATGTTGCCCGCGGGCCATAGTTTGGAGACCCCTGATCTAAATGGACACTGCAGCCAAAAAAGAGGACAACAATGAAGAAGTTAGAAAAAATAATCAAGTTTAAGGATGTGTCATTGGAGTTAAGGATGTCTCATTGGAGACCAAGATCAGGTTCATCTTATCTTCCTGATCACCATGTATGGGTGTGGAAGAGGACAGTAAAGAAAGCTGATAGGGAAAAAAAGTGATTACTTTGAAATATGGTGCTGGAGGACAGCTTTGTGGATATCCTGGACTGCCAAAAAGACGAACAAGTGGATCCTAGAGTAAATCAATCTCAGGAGGCAAAAGTGATGAAAATGAGGCTGTCCTACTTTGGACACATGAGAAGGCAAGATTCTCTGGAAAAGAGAATAATGCTAGGAAATACTGAAGGCAGCAGGAAAGGAGCAAGGCTAAAGACAAAATGCATTGACACCACAGCTTTGGGTTTGCAAAAACTATGCAGGGCTGTTGAGGACATGCCATTTTGGAGATCACTCATTCACAGGGTGTCATAAGTTGGAGGCGACTGGAAGACATGTAACAACAACAACTTCACCACTAAATCTCTGCATATGCTGTATTGCCATGCTGCTAATTTTACAATTTCCCGTTCTCAACAAATCCTGCCTCACCAACTTTAAGTCCAGATTCTTTTTGTGATCACTAACACACTGCTTTAAATAGAAATCTTGGTGTTGAACAGAAATAGCTAAAAGGAAATTGTTGTAGGAAATTGAATTAAGAAAGCTTGGATGAGAAAATCTAGCAATCTAAAGCACCTTAATTGTTCACATATAATAATACCACAATTTAATATAACATATAAAAACTCTTTCACAAAAGAGGAGAAACAACATAATATCAAAGTTTATTAAATCATGCAGATTGTAAAGAAAGGTAGTAAAATTCCCCAAATACTTCTTCTTAATTAATTAAAGTTTCAAAACTGGCTAAGAACACATGCAGGTTTACTTAGTTCACTACATTTCCAGGTAAAAGTACACAGGGTTTTTAAAGCCATTCTGGAAAGTCATTTTCTTAAGTTATTCTGGAAACTGCATGTCTGTCTCATTCTGAAGATATAATTCCATGTCTCTGGGTAGGTGTTTCAGAAGAGGAAACCATAAAACATCTCAAGTGAAACTTACATGAATCACAAGAGAAGTTCATGTTTCATTTCAAACTTTTCTGCATTTTTTTCTATAGAATGATTTCACCCCAGACCAAACAGTGCCTAATCAGATCTGAAATTCCTATGGCCTGTATAAAAATAATATAGAGAGTCAGTGTGGTGTAGTGGAAAGAGCAATGGACTCAGGAGATATGGGTCTGCATGCCCATTTGCCCATGGAAACTCACTGAAAGGTGGCAATGTTAAAACCACTCCTTATATATGTCACATATCTTGATAACCCAGTTAGGAATGTGACTTGATGGCACATAACAACATAAAGATAATATCGCAACAGTTTTCAAGTGCTGAAGAGAGCAGATCTCAAAGAGAAAATCTTACTCTATGGAAAAAAATATTATAAAATGGATTGTTAACATATGTTCACAATACAAAACTCAAACCCACAGATGCCATATGAGGTTTTTATTATACAGTGGACCCTTGACTTACAGACGGCTTGACTTACAGACTTTTTGAGTTACAGACTTCTCTGGCCGCAAAATTTAGGTTTGACTTGCAGACTGAGATTTGACTTACAGACCAGAAAAAAACCAAAATGGAACAAAAACGGCCTGTTACGGGATTAATCAATGCACTGTAGGTCAATGGAGACTTGACTTACAGACTTTTTGACTTGAGAACTGCCTTCCAATACGGATTAAGTTCTCAAGTCAAGACCCCACTGTACAATCACCCTTCATGAATTTTTATACAAGTTTCAAAGGCCACTGTCTTTTATTAATACAGTAATTCTTCTATTTGCCTTCCCCCCAGGCTTTATTTTTTGTTACCTCAGAAAATCCATTAATAATAGAAAGTTGGAATACTGTAGGTGTATACTGCCTCCTAACCAGCAGCATTAGGGTTCCCCTATATGAAAATATCCATTGGCACAATCCAGTCACAATTAGAAACTCCCAGGCTCTGTTTATATTATAGAAGATTTAAGCAATGCTTAACATTCTCACACGCAAGTCAACAGGGATTTTAAAAATTCCACTGTCTTTTATTAATACAGTAATTCTTCTATTTGCCTTCCCCCCCAGGCTTTATTTTTTGTTACCTCAGAAAATCCATTAATAATAGAAAGTTGGAATAGGTGTATACTGCCTCCTAACCAGCAGCATTAGGGTTCCCCTATATGAAAATATCCATTGACACAAACCAGTCACAATTAGAAACTCTGTTTATATTATAGAAGATTTAAGCAACTTTTATTAATACAGTAATTCTTCTATTTGCCTTCCCCCCAGGCTTTATTTTTTGTTACCTCAGAAAATCCATTAATAATAGAAAGTTGGAATACTGTAGGTGTATACTGCCTCCTAACCAGCAGCATTAGGGTTCCCCTATATGAAAATATCCATTGGCACAATCCAGTCACAATTAGAAACTCCCAGGCTCTGTTTATATTATAGAAGATTTAAGCAATGCTTAACATTCTCACACGCAAGTCAACAGGGATTTTAAAAATTTTTATTTTGTTTGGATCATGTGTCACTTATTAATTAGAATGAAATGGCTGTATTTCTGGCGAATTAGGGTTCCCCTATATGAAAATATCCATTGGCACAATCCAGTCACAATTAGAAACTCCCAGGCTCTGTTTATATTATAGAAGATTTAAGCAATGCTTAACATTCTCACACGCAAGTCAACAGGGATTTTAAAAATTTTTATTTTGTTTGGATCATGTGTCACTTATTAATTAGAATGAAATGGCTGTATTTCTGGCGACAGTAAAATTGAAAACTTAGAAAGCTGAACAACATGAAAAACGCACCACATGAACTACAATGAAAAGTAAAAAAAAAAAAAGTTAAGCTAAGAACTTGGATATGTGATTCTCATACCGCTTATGAAACTGCCCCAAGCTCTTTAGATGTAGGCATGAACTTCAGAAGAACACAGAACAGAAAGGATTCACTGCTGCTTTGGACTTAGTCTGCTTTCAGAAAATTACATAGTCTTCGGGGGGAAAAGAAAATTAAAAGGATCCTACTGATTTGAACAAATAAGATAAAAGACAAGGAACAAACAATTCTTACCTCAGAGAGACAATGCAGCGCTGGCAAAATCTGTGCCCACATCCTGTCTGGTGAGGATTGTGAAGGACTAGATGGCAATAAGTACATTTATACCGGTCTTCTAAGGTCTCCACAAATTGATAGTTGGCATCAGGCTCAAAATCAAGAGAAACTGCACTGGTAGAATTCTGTCGAATGTAGAGATTGGGTGACTGGCCTGCAAGGTCTTCAGAGGCCATGGACATAGAGCTACAAATACATGCAAGGGAAAAAAAAGATGCTAGATGCTCTCATCCTGTTGTTCATTCTTCTCTGAACAATGGAGAAGCCTCAGAGTCACATCAGTCTATTTCAAGGGGATAGATGTAGCCATTATTAGCTTGCTGCAGCAAAAACAACAGAGAGTCAAGTCTACAGGGTCCTTAAAGTCTTGAAAGTTTTATCCTGCATCAGTTTGGGTTCTCTAGAAGAATGGTATTGAATGCCTATACCATTTTGTAATATCTGTGCTTGTTTGAAAATATACAGATTGAGCATGTGTGAGGCAATATTCCCACAATCACTCAAACCTATTTTCTGTATGCTCCAACACTTTTAGCTTACAGTGTCAAGGAATCACCTCAACTGCAGTGTCTCGGCCAGGCGCTACAAGGTACCACCAAATTCTGCTATTTCGGAATGAACTTTCAAGACTGCATTGTGGCCTTGGAAAAGGGAGAGGTTACCTTGGTGGTGAACAACCCGCCTCCCAAAAAAACTTCTGAGTTTAGTCTCCCTGTTTATGCTATATGAATGGGAAACATTAAACACAGATTTATCCTTTTAAAGTTCTTTTGATACATTTTTATAAAAGTTTCCAAACCCAAATACTGTGTTTGAACTGAACTGGCAGGAAGGTTTGCCTCAAAAATCTGCCATGACTGGTAGGTGATGTAAGCTTGTATGGCAGCCTATTTTTTGCTGATGTGTCCCCATCTCATTGTGGCCCATGTTTAAGACAACAAGGATCCTCCAGACACTTGTGAAGGACTAAAATCTGTCTAGGCTATGGCCAAAGATGCTAATGTAGGACTTTGCTTCTTTCTCCTTCCCATTTTACTCCAAGAAGGGGGGGGGAAGCCATGTTCTTTCCCTCTGTGATGGAGAGGACGGATTTTAAGGTATCAGTTTACTAGACCATCTTTGGATATCTCAAAATGCGAACACAGCTTTGTTTGCTTAAATTGCTACTCCTAAGAAAAGGGATAAAGAAGCACCCGATCTCTGAATTTAAGGATTCTTACTATCTAGGAAAGGAAACTCTTGTTGATTGAATAAGCAACCACCCACCTTCATCTCACACATTCTTAAAGAAGCTTCACAGAGCTTCCACAACCCATAGACGCAAAACTTGACACTAATTCTTTATTGTTCCATAAACCAATGGCAGTGTTTTTTCTTTGTTCTAACCTAATACATAAACAGGAAATTTGGAGATCCATGGAACAACATTTTGCAAATTAGGCCCTCTCAGGGCAGCACTAACCACCCAAAATGTGGGAGGGAAGGAGGAAAAAGAAAGAAAGGAAAAGAAAAAAGAACCGGAAGCAACTAGAAATTAATTTCTGATCTTGGAAAATGGGTCCTTTTTATATTATATGTTGCAGGGAAGCCCAGTGATCTATTTAGGAGGTAAACTGTCTCTTCTTGAGCACACAGATAAGCAGTAAATATTGTTTTCAAAGAAGCAGCTGTGTTAATGCATATCCAGACAAAAATTTTTAAAAAGAGGAAACAAAAAATGTTATGGCATCTTAAATACTCTTATATTTCAGTGTGAGTTTTTGTAGATACTTTTTTCAGACATATTAGAGTGAAGCAAACCTACAATTTATATAATGCATAGTCAAAGGAAATAGGTTAGCAAGGTGAGAATAGCACTATTGGCACAAATAATTAACAGTAAGATGGTTGGTTTCAATGGATAGTATCACACTTCCTATGAGATGTGAAGTAGCAGGAGCCTCAATCCAATCTTACGCCAGTGGTCTGTCCTTGTAATCTAATTTGTGGTTATTCTTCTCTACCACAGTGATTTGCAGATCATATACAGAGTGCCCAGGGAGACTGAAATGTTGTGTGGTGCCATTTCTGATGTCAGAGTTATGTACATTAATTCTCTTGTGTGGAAACTGTCCAGTTTGTCCTATGTACAGTGCACTGTTGGCAAAGGACAGCATAGAGCTTGTTAGCAGATGAACAAGTAAATGAGCCCCTGATGTTTTCAGTGACATTACTGGGGCAGTAATTGTGCTACCAGAGTAAATGCTTGGAAAGAGTTGGTATCCAACTTTGCAGTAGGATCTAGTTCTCACCTCTGTATGTGTGTTGTTTAGTCTGCTGTAGAGATGGCGATGAAGTGTCAAAACTTGACAAACCACGAATTGCCCCCCAGTGGCCAATTTGTTGGGTCTTTTTTGTTTTTAGACAGCCCCTTACGAACCACAAATCAATTCGTTGGGTCTTTTTTGTTTTTAGACAGCCCCGGTTCTCACAGCTTTCCTGTGCCGCTTTCTTTCATAGAAAGAAAGGAGGACCCAAGCCATCCCACAGCCCCACTCTCTTTGCAAAGGCATCAGGGCTGGGGGTCGCTTTGATCCTTTCCCTCCTCTTCCTATGCCATATCGAGCTTCAACAGATATCCCTGAATATCCCATATGGCATAGGAAGAGAAGAAAAGGGGGACTCAAGCCATCCCACAGCCCCACTGTCTATGCAAAGGCATCAGGGCTGGGGGATCACATTGTTCCCGCTTTGATTTCTTTCTTCTTCTTCCTATGTGTGGGCATGGGAAGAGGAGGGAAGGGGGACCCAAGCCATCCCCCAGCACCTGGGGTGCGATTCTCTTCACGCAGACTTTAGCAAGGCACCTGAGGGGAAAATCCCTTTCTGCTTATGCCCCCAGGAACAGCTGATCCGCGGGGCCATAAGCAGATAGGGACAGATGAAGGGACAAACATGAAAGGGTTTTATTCGTTGCTTCACATTTATCAGCATTTCTCGACCCCAAGAATACAAAGCAACAAATATCTGACAAATCAGGGATATCTGTTGAATATCCCAATTCGTTTTTACATTTGTCCTCATGTCTTGTCTGCTGTCTGTCAACTGTTGTTTGAGATTGGTTGTTATCTGTAAGCACGTGCAGGTCAGCTATTGAGGGCTCAGTGAAGTGCAGTGTTGTTGTCCAGAATGGGTTGCAGACTGTTGCCTATGTGTGTGAGTGATTTCAGTTGTGAGCTGAAGGTGATAACCAACAGTGTGCTGTCATTCTCTCTTCTGGGGCTGCCTTGTAGTAGATTGTTCTTGGGTATCCATCTTGTTCTCTTAATTCATTCTTTAACCATGCTGGGTGGGTACTGTAGTCTAAGAAACACCCTTTTTAGACACATGAGTTTGAAATCACCATCTTGGGGGTCCAAGCAGATTAAATTATATCAAAAGGCTTGGCTGTAGACAACAGATTTTTTGGCATATTCAGGGTGGAAACACGCAACAATCTGTAACAGGCAGCAGTTTTCAATACAGTGGGGTCTCGACTTATGAACGGCTCGACATACGAACACTTCGACTTACGAACTGCTCTCACAGGAATATATGGACGACTTGCGAACTTAGATTCGAGTTACGAACTCTTTTTTTTCCTTTTTTTTAAAGCTAAGTCATCTTAGGTTAAAAGGAAAAAAGAAAAAATATCCCCCTCTAGTGGCAGAAGGCGGAATAGCAGCTTCCCATTAGTTTCTATGGATGAAAAGAGCAGATAAGGATTAAATGGTTTTCAATGCATTCCTATGGGAAATGAAGTTTCGACTTACGAACTTTTCGACCTGAGAACTGCCTTCCAATTCGGATTAAGTTCGTAAGTCGAGACCCCACTGTACAGAGTGGTGACAAGACGTCCAAGTTGTAGTTTTACAGTGGCATCCTGAAAACGAACCTGCTATGTAGATTGATCCACACTAAACTTAATGTTAGGATGAAAGTTACTGATGTTCTGGGGAAATCTTTCTAGTAGTTCTTTTCCATGGATCCAGATAATAAAAATGTCAACCATCTGTAAGAACGTTATCAATGTAACATTGTTGTCTCTTAGAGTCTTAAAATAGATTTTGTTGAGGATGTTTTTCACTTAATGCTTTAGCACAGATTTCTGATGAAAGTACTGTTTTAGTAACTGAGAAGCAGCAAAGTATAATTAAGGGACAACTTATGATGAATAATTAATACACTAAGCTAACATTCTCTTTTCGCTTTCACACACTTGCTGGTTCTACAGCCAAACACAACTTTGCTAAGAGTAATTATTCAATTTATTGTTATTCCTAACACAATGGCCTTGCAGTTGGAGATGGGGGTGCTCATAAGCTCTGTGTGATGGCATCACAAGTGGCTATAGCCATTTATGCAGACAATTTTTCAAAATAAAGATATAAATATTCATGGATGAGGCATCTAACAATCAGTCATGATAACCCAAATGTTGCTTTCACATTAGAGGTGGTGTACCTCTGGCTGGGGATGCTGATAATAAAGCATAACTATTTGCATCATGGTCTGCCTATGAATATCTGAAAGCATCCACTTTTAGAACTCTGAAATAGATGGAATCATAGTCTGATCCAAAAAGGAAATTCTTATGTTCTTAGATGTGGTATTAGAACAGGAAAAACTGCTTAAGCATCTCTGGATTCTAAATCAGGGGTCAGCAAATGTAATGCCCTTGATAGTTCCAGGAGTCATTGCCAGCATTTACACTACACTCATTGCCAAATACAGTGATGGCAGGGGCCAAAGCACCACTTACTTGCAGGTAGTAAACAAGGTATGTGGGTGCCATTTGCCCTTTAACTTTTCAGAAGAATTCTGCTTCCTGGAAGCTTCTGAGAATGCAGTCCTCCTTAAAAAAACAAGACATACAGCTTATGCTTATCTTATTTACTTGCAAATAAGTGGAAATTTTGCTGCCACTATGCTGCAGCAGTTATAATGGCAGTACACCCCCCCCACCCCAGTGGACCCTGGCAGCCAGATGCTTATAACTCCTGGTCTAAATTTTGTTCTGAACAATGAAATTTGTTTGTCCTGTGCAAATATTGCTTCAGTTCAATCACATTATAGGAGCAGAACAGCACTGGGGGAAAAGACTGACATTAAGTTGGTAGGGTTGAATCTGGGCTTCTCTATGGAGAGATGACAAAAATCTTGCCTGAAGCGCTGGTTCTCTTTAGAAAATGCTGTCTGAACCATAACACTGGCTCCTGTGATTCAATGCTCTTTGCCCAGACAAAAAGTGAGAATTCAAAGTTCAAATGCCACTGCTCTTTAGTGCTTCTCTGTGTTAAAAATGGATGGTGCAACTATGCAGCAATCAAGCAGAAATTGAGTTTAAGGAAGAAGAAAAATGAAAGCAGACTTGCTGTTTAAACAGAAGTTTACAAAGACTTTCTAATGGAAAACTGATGTTTGGGGAAAATGGGAAAAGGGACCGTACGACTTCTTCTAATGAGTAAAAGGATATATATATTAAGGCAAGGTTTTAAGGTGCTGTTTTAATGCCCTACAGTCCCTCAAAATGCTAACTGGTTTGTATATAATACATATATAGATTAAACAACTTCTAGTTACAGGAATTATAGTCAAATAATAATATGCACATTTATAGGTCTCAAATTCTCTAGAGCTCTAAATTTTCTCATTGTGAAAAGAGTTCAGCTATGTGGAAGTACCCATACCACATCAGGAAGCAAGGTTAATATGTGAAAAGAAACACCCGTCTTAACCTGTGTGATTAATATATGGAGATTTATCTATGTACCATCAGTAATTTTGAACCCAAGAAGAAAAAGAAAGGGAGTTGCAGAATTTTAAAAAAACCTAAGCGTTCCTTAACTGATTCTGATTATACAGAGAGGGAGAAAAACTCTAAATAAAAATAGTAGCTTTTTTCAAAGGTACATTAAATAAATACGAAGATGGGTGTTATGTGGCTAACTTAATCCACATGGTAGAAGATTTAAGTGTTAATATAGAATTTAAGTCAATATTTAAATACAAATCTGGTATGCTCCTTTAGTATGATTACCAACAAATTATTGCACAGCATTGATTGTTCAGGCTAGAAACAGTACCTCAGCTCCAGCAGAAAACATACTTTTAAAATGGCTGATTGTTCTTTATAATACAGAGATTCACTAACAATCCTATACTTGCCTCTGTTACATAGTGAAGTCCTTTGTGGACTGCAGGTCACTTCATCAGATGCCTCTGAAGTCCATGAAAGTGTATGCTATAAACCATTTGTTAATCTTTATGGTGTTTACCTCATCAGTAAACATGTTTCTTATTGAGTCAATTTTTATGGATAATGTCAGCTATACAGAATGGATGCAAAATAAAGGGAAAAATTGGGAAGGGAGAACCAAGGGCACAATAATATTACACTTTAAAAACTAAAGGTTTTGTTTCAGTGGAAAGTTTCACTTTACAGGTGTCTGAAAATTTGGATTTTAATCCACAAAAACTCACACTGAAACAAGTTTGTTAAGTCTTTGAAGTGGCACAATATTTCTAAAGAATGGAAAAAAAAAAGTGGCACAATATTGTTTTTTCCTCTTCCTTGCCCCGGCTGCCTCATTTTGCTGACAAGGTGAGACAGACCAACATGACTACCTCTTTGGAAACTGCTATATGGAATAGAGAACAGTTTTATTATGTTATGTTATTAATAATATTATTTATGGTGTTCATAGCTTGCGTTTAAAACCTTCATTTTAGCTTCCCTCCCCTTTTACAAACTGTCAAAAAACCCCACTAAGTTTGTAACTACTTTTTTTGCAAATCTAAGAGGCACAGGTTTAAAATATATAAATATATCAAAATAATCATGTGCGCGAAGTTACGCATAATACATTTAAATACTTAAACATTTAGGTCTAAAAAGCAAAATGCTATACATGTTGCCATTCCTTTCCTTCTAAATTCCTGGGGCCCCACTCCATAAATCCACTACTTTTCCATTACTGTACATCAACATTTCTTGAAACATTTACTTCCCCCCAAAATCCTGTCCTGCCTATATGCAAGGTTTGGACTAGTTCAGAAGCAGTTAGTGCCTAAATCAAAATGCTTGACTTAATCATACATTTAAAAAAAATCATATTCTGCTGCTTTTGGTCATGCAGATTTCTGAACCAAAGAAACAGCCCTTTCCTCAAAGTATGAAAATGAGCTTTGCAAGGGTTCACCCCTGCATCACATCAGTTCTGAATGGATATATGTAACTGACCATGCACAACACACTACAGTATTCTTAAGTTCTGCCAGCTCCAACAAAAAACACCTTGAAAAACTACATTTCCACATTAGTCCTTCCCAACACCTTGTCCCTGCTCCTTTTGGACGAGAGGCCTAGAATAAAATTGGCTCACCTTGTGGGGAGGAAACTGCAGCATACTTTTATTTATTTTTCTAGTATACTTCCAATGTCATTCTCACATCAGTACAAGTAGCCAATAGCTAAACAAGCACTCAGAGCTGCCAACATTTAAAAACAACTACAGTATTTCCTTTAGTTTGCATTCAAAGAGCATCAAGTTCAAATACATGAGAAAGGAAGCAAATACTCTTATTCTCTTCATATACTTCTGCCCTCAAACCCGTCATATGACATTTTAGTTTCCCACAGAAGCATTGCTTTTAAAAAAAACACCCACAGTATTCTGAATTAATGTTTTGTTTAAATGTCTTTTGCTATCACTAACTTCAATGCCAGGCACCTCTGACCTAATACAAACCAGCAGTGCCCCATCATCTCCCCCCCTGATCATGGCTCGCACATATTTTCATAGGTCAACTAACCAAAAGCCCAAACATACAGTAGTATTGCCAAATACCCTGAGAAAGCTTGTAATCTGCATAATCGGGCCAAACAGCACTTTACCACTAACCAGGTGAAGTTATAAGGTAAAGGTTCCCCTTGACATTTAGTCCAGTTGTGTCTGATTCTAGGACGCAGTGCTCATCCCTGTCTCCAAGCCATAGAGTCAGCGTTTGTCCATAGACAGCTTCCATGGTCATGTGACCATTGCGAATAGACACAAAACGCCGTTACCATCCCACCATGGTGGTGCCTATTTATCTACTTGCATTTTACATGCTTTCAAACTGCTAGGTTGGCAAGAGCTGGGACAAACAACGGGAGCTCACTTCGTCACGTGGATTCGATCTTCCGACTGCTGGTCTTCCGACCTTGCAGCACAGAGGCTTCTGCAGTTTAAACGGCAGTGCCACCACGTCCCTTCAGGTGCAGTTATATAATGCACCAATTACTTGTTGCTCTCTCCCACGTGCGTATATATGTATGGTTAGACCCATTATTAAACTTTTGTTTCAGACCAACAACAGGAACAACTGGTTCAGATTAATAAAACAGACTGTGCAGATACAAAAATTTCATTTCATTTCGAGCCTGGAAAAGTTACTTTTTTGAGTACAATTCCCAGACCTCCCCTAGTTAAGATGGGTAGTGTCCTGGTTGGTAGATTGTGGAAAGTACAGTCTGAAAAAGTAATTTTACCAAGACTTTAATGTCCTTGATTACCCTTTTTGTACAATCATTAGGAAAAGTTAAGAATAATACAACTTGATACATAGACCTTACAGATCCAGATTAAAACACAGCGAAGCCAATAATTAAAGTTACACAGGATGTTTCTAGGACAAATTTGAATATTTCTACTTTCTTACAGGAAAACACTCCTAATTATTTCTGTGAAAGCTTTCTTATTATCATTAATGCTTCAGAACTTAAATACATGTTCCCAGCACAAATTAAAATGAAACAACATTCTGATGGTGCATATTATCAGCACGTTGCATTTAATGTACAGTGCTATGTGCATTTTAATATAATTAAAGCTAAATTCAAAAGACACATTTCAGACATATAAAAGAGGGGTGGAAGTATGTTTTCTACAGCACCCACTTCAATTTTATTTGTTTCTCAAAATGGTAATTAATCTGCAGCTAGTTTCAGAGTAACTAATGCTTCAGAACAATTAAAAACTTGGCTCTTTAGGCAGGCCTTCCCTCCTGCCAATTCTTGATTGCATTTTCTTGCTTTTGTTGTTTATTCTCCCATCTTGATCATATTATTATTGTAGTTTTTAATTGTTGTTTTTATTTGTTTAATGCTGCGAGCCGCCCTGAGTAGACTTTTGTCTAGAAGGACAGGATATAAATCCAATAATTAATAAATAAAATAAAGAACAATTACATTAATTCGTTCCAGCGAAATCGCTGTAAAGCGAAAACATCATAAAACGAAATAAAAAAGCCCATTGAAATGCACTGAAAACCGTTCAATGCGTTCCAATGGGCTGAAAACTCACCGTCCAGCAAAGATCCTCCATAGGGGCGGCCATTTTCGGGTGCCTGTAAAGTGAAAAATGGCTCCTAAACACAGCGGGGAGCCATTTTGTACACCCGGCGGCCATTTTGAAACTGACGATCAGCTGTTTTTGATCGTCTTAAAGTGAAAATTGGTTCCCGAAGAAGGGGACCGATCATTGTAAAGAGGAAAACCCCCATTCAAACCATCATTTTGCGATCACAAAAACATCATCGTCAAGCGGATTCATCATTAAACGGGATAATCGTAAAGCGGGGCACAAATGTAATAACTAATGCTAATATATCTTTCCATTATATTTTATACCGCTAAGTATGTGATCATTTCCACAATCCAAAACAAAACCAAACTCATATTATTCTAAAACAAAAATAAACCATATGTAGATCCAAGAGAATCCTTATGTATTTACTGTTATGTATTTATAGCACAAGCTGAGTGGATAGCTCAGGGGGTTTAGGCCAAGCCAGGGAGTGGGAGTTCTATTC